ATGCCAGGTGATGAGTGTCTTTGTCCAAGTAGCTGCACAAAGGACAGGCGGCCCATACCTTGGATTCCTGTTGTCCTCTGCACAGCTGGAGTTATGGGGCCAGTAGAGATGGACTGGCCTGAAGATGATGGGTGATTGAATCCTTAATTATTAATATGATGCCCATGAAAATTGCTGGAGGGGATTTCCTGGGTCATGAGGTGCTGGAGAATGGTCACCAGAAGGTCTTGATTGGTGGTTTCATATCAAAAAATGTTTTTATTCATAAAAATATAAAATGTACACATTAAATGGGAAAAATAGGGGTCCATGGATACTGGGGACTCCTACTGAGGGAACCAGGGCACCCACAGGAGTGGGGGAGTTGGCAAAGAGGTTGACGGACATGAGGGGGGTGGTTAGTGTGGGGGAGAGTGAGAGAATAAGCCCATTTCTGAGGGCCATGTGGCCCAAGTGGCCACCAGGCCGGCTGCAGAGGGTGAAGACAGGAGAAAAAGAGACTCAGGAGGCAAGGAAGATGCATGGAGACAGACATAGAGGATAACACACTTTGTTGCACATTTATTTAGGGTTAGAAAGCAATATAACTAAGCAAATGGGGAAAGTGTTCTAAAAGTTTCCTGGGTGTTGGTAGCTGCTACAGGGCTCTTCTAGACCCTCAATCACCCGCAAAAAGGAATATTGCCAAATAAAAAATCCTTGTTAGCTGTAGCTTGTCCCTGCCGTAGACCCAGTAAAACAATATAATTTGACCCGGGGGGGGGGGGGGTCCATGCTCAACAACAATGGTATGACTGACACAAAACAAAATAAGGGACGGCTGATCAGCAGATACTGTCTCCATCTTCTGAGGCCACATCCGTGGCAGTTAGGATGGAGTGAGGGCCTTTTATCTGCTGGGCCCAGGCATGGTGGAAGTAAAAAAATAAAGTTCCAAGTAAATGCTCTTTGGCAGCCAGTGCAGTGTTGTGGTTTGGGTGTTGGACTATGAGTCTGGAGATCAGGTTTAAATCCCGTCTTGGCCATGGAAACCTCTTGGGTGACCTTAGATGAGGCACTCTTTCAGCGACAGAAAAACCCATAATGGACTCAACATAGGGTTGTCATAAGCCGGAAGTGACTTGAAAGCACACAATAACAACAAAGGCACTTTGGTGTGTAGTCTCAGCCACAAAAACTGACGGATACCTTAGTAGCTATCCACGTTCAGTCTCATTTACCTCAGATGGGTGAGGTGAAGTTAATCACAAAGCCATTATGGATACATCCTCAGAATCATACTGTATTTAAAACAATTAGCATCCTTGCCTTCTCTCAGGGAACTTGATATGCACATCATCTTGCTGCACTTTCCATTTTATTCTTACAAAAAAAAAAACCCTGTGCAGTTTGTCTCTAGAGCTATCAATTTATTTTCTGTCTGTGTCAGGAATTGGAGGCAGGTTTCACCTCTGAAATTTAAGCACTGAAGACACCAAAAAGAAAAAAAGAAGTTGACAAGCATTATGGAAACTGATGATTAATACTAATATTTTTCACTTCTCTAATATGATTATTATGGCGAATTGTTCAAATACCGACCAAGTAAACCCCCCTATGCTGAGAATTTGACCGTTTTTAATCAACACCATACAGTGAGGCTGGCAAGGTCCATATTGTGCAGAAGATTCTTTCCTATTGTGAGATGGCGCAGAATGCAGTGATGCCAATGATGGTGTGGTCTTGGCATGGTGCACGCTGCACAGAGATCACCTTGAGCTGAAGCAAAGGGTTCCTGTTGCTGAATGGGCACAGTGACTATACAAGGCCACAGATAAGTTGCTGAAGGTTGGATAAAACTAATTTGGGTGTGCATCAAAATACGAATTTTTCAAAGGGCAAAAAAGAGAATGAATATGTACAATTAAACAGTGAAACTGTAACATAATTACAGTGTAGCAATTACATGTATCAAGTACTTAAATGAAACTATATCCAGTCTTAAAAATGTCTGTTTGAGCATCACGTTTTGCCAAGTTTTCTAATTCTGTGACGATAATATGGACATAGCTTGCTTGGAATTGGTTCAAAAAACTAACAAATCCATGTGTTAATTTAAAATTGTTTTAAAATTTGTTTTTATTGTGCTACAACTGGATTTTAAACCTGTTTATTTACTAGCTTTAGTGCCTGGTGATGACTGGATTAGGTAATTTGTAATGCTAGTTATTAGAATTTAGGAATGGTCCCATTCGAAAGTGCATAAACTACCACTTCATCATCCCTGGTCCATCTCCCCTAAATAGCATCAATTAAAATTGGTCAGGATGAGTATGTATGCCAAGTTCGTTCTAGAGAGCCATTATTGGTGAGGTTCACAGTGTTCTTTGATTGTGGGAGACCTGCAACTCCAATTGTCTTAGGTCCAACCCCACCCCCAAACACCAGCAGTAAAGTTGGTCATGATGGCATGTGTGCCAAGTTTGGTCAGTTACCATCATTGGTGGGGGTCACAGTCATCTCTGGATGTAGATAGACTACAACTTGTTTTGTCCTGGGTCACCCCCCCCCCCCCCCCCCAATTCCCTCCCATGGGGCATTTGTGTGCCAAGTTTGGTCCAGATCCATTGTTAGCGGGATTCAGAGGGCTCTCTGGATATGAGAACCATTTTGGAAACTGCACACGTTTATTTATCGTATCAGGAGCAAACCAAACAGTTGTATTGTATTTTTAAAAAACACGAAGTTTGCAAACTTGGCATTCTACTAAATGTCCTTTGATCAGTAGCTGGCCATTTGACATGCCTCTGGCATTGCTATAAGAAGGTTGTCCATTGTGCATGTGACAAGGCTCAGGTTGCATTGTAATAGGTGGTCTGTGGCTTGTTCTTCTCCACAGTCGCATGTCATAGACTCTACTTTGTAGCCCCATTTCTTACATACAAACATAGATAGCTACTTCGACTTTTATTATATAGATTTAGATATGCCACCTTTCTTTTATTGTGGAGCTAACTCGTTTATTTACAGTGTTTCTTTTTATATTTTGATGTGTCATTATCTTTTTGAGGGATATATCTTAGAAGGTGGACAAGAAATCCCTACATAATAGGGCTCTTTCATGGAGATCCAGCTTTGTCCATATAAGCTCCCTGGTTTCAATCCTAGACCCTCAGGCTAAAAGGATTTTCAAGAACCAGTCTTGAGTGATGGAGCAATACTTGTAATCAGAATAGACTATGATTCTATGATTCTATAACTATTTAGATTGTGCGTATCTGTAGTGAGATTCATTAGAAAGTATTTTCTAAAGTTTAGAACACTAAGGTTGAGGCTGTCCAAATATAAGCTTTTAGTTAGTTTCAATGAGGAAATATTTCCTGTTTTGCATGTCAATAGTCTTCAAGTCCAGGTCCAGTATCCACAGTTTCATTTACCAATTTCTGACAAAATATACCCCTCTAAGCATTTTCCCAGACCCTTTGGTGCAACTCTATCGTATTCTTGGGTCAAAAATCCTTCATTTGCAATCCTTGCGAAGTATAGGAACATTTCTCCTGTGGATACATGGGTTGCATTGCAATTCCTTAAAACCTTGGAGGGGGTATTACAAAGCAATAAGGATAGGTCTATATACTTTTAGATAGCAACATGTACTTTGTTTATCAGTAACAGTATATAGTACCAGTATATATATACCAATATATTAATACCAAGACATTGGAGTATCTAAGAGGTTAAAAGAACACAATCTTCTACCTTATCTGAGTGGAAAACAAATCACCATTAATTGTGGCAAATTTCATATCAAAATGCAATTTAATTGAACTGCTGGAAGTCAAAATTAGAATTATTCATATTAGAAGTAAGTTTTCACAATTTACTAAAAACACCAGATTAATCATTGGGGGGGGGGGGGGCTGGTAGGCAAGAAGGTGAGTTTTCCATCAGTCACAGTCTTCTGAACAAAAAAAGGAAATTATTTGGTTAAATGCAATGTGATAGCATTTAAAGTATTAAGAGAAGGGCATCTAAGGGAATCAGACTAGATACTATCACTGATCCTCTCGCTTCCCTTAATTAGCTGGGTATGTTCCATTTGGATTGTGGTGCAGCTGGCTGAGTGTCAGCTGCATTAAGATCACTCTGACCAAAAGGTCATGAGTTCGAAGCCAGCCTGGGCTGGAGTGGGTGTCCAGCCATTGTGTAGCCCGTTGTCGACCTTTGCAACCCGAAAGACAGTTGCATCTGTCAAGTAGGAAAATAAGGCACCACCTTGTGTGGGAGGCTAAATTTAACTAATTTATGAGGCCATAAAGAAAAAAGACTCCGGGGAATGTGGAATGCGGAAGAACTTCATCGGTGTCGTTGATGGACGATGAAAAGCAGCAGCTCCCCTGGCGGCCAGTAAAAAAAGTTAAATAGCCTCGGTGTATTTGTCTGTTAAATGTTGTTTGTCAAACTGGCATTGAATGTTTGCCATATATGTGTTTACTGTAATCCGCCCTGAGTCCCCTGTGGGGTGAGAAGGGCGGAATATAAGAACTGTAAATAAATAAATAAATAAATAAATAAATAAATTGGATCCTGTTTAATCACTGAATGTTATCTGTCTCATTGCAGACCTCTGGAAACTGCTCTAGTATTGCTTGATATCACGATAAATGAAAAGCCTTAAATAATTTGATTGAATTAATGAGCCTCTTCTGTTTAGTAAAGTATGTCACACCTCTGTGGTGAACAACTCTGCTGTACAAAGACAATTCTGCTCTGCTGCCTTGCTCTCTTTCCACAAAGCTCTGTAGCATCTGCTCTGTGCTAATTCTTTATTCTCACCTTTCTTGTTTCAGAAAGAACTTGGTGAAATGTGCTTTCTTCCTCCGGTTTAGTATGACTGCCTCCTTTCCTTTTTTTTTTTTCAAATCACTCATATATATCCTTACTTCCTCAAACAGACACCGTCTCCAGACTTTGGAGGAAGCACCAGAGCCAGCCCACTAGCTGGTCATGTGACGAATTCCCGCAGCTCCTTGGCCCAGGCTGAAGTTACAACCAAAGAGATGGGGCTCTGGCTGTGTGCGCTGGTGCTGGTGCTGAGGGGCCTGTGGCTCCAGGTAAGGGAGACAGAGGAGAGCGGGAGGGCACTGACTTAAAAGCTGTCTCATTGCATCTAAGGGAAAGTCGGAGATTTCCTTGCTTGTGATGCATCCCTGCCCTGTCCACTCTCCATGTAGTTAAACATAAACTTTTTTCCCATAGATCTTGCTAGCCCTTCCTTATCTTGCTAGCCCATTCTTCTCTTCTGTCCCTCATATCATTCTGCCTGTTGTCCTTAGGACTACTGCTGTGTTGTGTTGTGGAACTGAAAGTTCCCCCAAATGGAGTTTAATCCGTGCTGTGTATTGAACATGTCTGGTACCCCTAAAATAGTCCTCATCTACACTGACCATTTCAAAGTTTTGAGTTCAGTTCAAAGCTAGCTTCAAACTGTAGCAGCCAAACATAAAACATTCACAGAAGTGGGTGAAAGAAAGCCCTGAATGCACACCAGTGTTTTGTATAATCATTGTCAAGATCTCGATTCAGTTACAGGATTTTCTAAGTAATCATCTGTATAGTGAAATCACCTTCTTCAGTGTTGGTTTGAAACTGCATTGGGTGGTCAATGATGCACCCATAGTAGTTATTCCTTTATTCTGAAAGTGGGAGAATAGCCATGTGTTCAGACACAAAGGCAACAGCGAATAACAGTCTGTAGCATACGCAGTTTTGAGACAGGACAAGAAAATGTGACTTTACATATGTTTATTGATGCTTACAAAATCTGACAGATTCAACAAATGAATCCTAGTTGAATAATTCAGATATATATGAGATATGCCTTGGCTTTTTGCTCCTCACCTGAACCTGAGGAACAAATATTGAATGGAACATTAGGTTTGGACTTGCAGAGTTTGGTGTGGGACAGGAGAAAACAAACAGGTGGTAACAGGCACTTTTAAGATGCACCACATGACTTCATAGATGACTTTTACTACACATGATGTGTGTAGTAAATGTCACATGAATCCTCAAAGCTTCTCTGGAAATCATTCTCATTATAGAGATATTCCCAAAGAAAAATCAAATATCAATCTTGCTATTGATTCTGTGGAAGGTGACATACATTTACAGTGGGACAGAAGATGAGTATAGTCCTCCTAGATAGTGTTGGGGCCTATCTGGTCCTCTTAGCTAAAGATGTGGCAGCAGGTTGCAGTTCTGTATTTAAATAATGGTTGTTGTCTTTTCCCTCTCATCCTGGATACCAGCCCTCAGCAGCAGCCCCTTCCTTCAGCATTGATTACACAGGTAACAGCTTCCTCAAGGATGGCGTTAAGTTTCGCTATATCTCAGGCAGTATCCATTACTTCCGTATCCCACCTGCCTATTGGAAGGATCGGCTTCTCAAGATGTACATGAGTGGTCTTAATGCTGTGCAGATGTAAGTGACTGAAAGTGGAAATGGTGCTTTGTTGGAACATTATTTGGTGCAGTAGAGCCTGGAGACTGAAGGCTACCCATAAGGGGTCTGGCCTTCTGATAATGGGCTTACACATTAGAAAAACTAGGCTCTTCAGCATCTGATGCTCAAGATCAGAGAGGATGAAGCTGTCTAAAGTAACAAAAACCTTTAACCACATGATATCACCAAGATGTAGAACACTCTAGACTGGTGCCCAAATGCAGCAGGATACAAGTTCTACACAGGCCTGTCACCTACAGAAAAAGTCTGTATGTTACTGTTTCTCTTTTCTCGATGATAGGGAAATCAATTTTGGTCTTGATCCTGACTTTAAATCTGAGGAGACAAATACATGGCTCCTGTACCACACTACCCTAATTGACATATTGGCCTGAGAATGAGGAATAAAAGATTTAAGACAAACTGCAACCCCCCCACCCCCACCACCCCCCAAAAAAAAAACCCCAGGTTGTGTTAAGGAACAAACCATTAACAAAACAGACTCCTGCCTTGTGTATCCATAAATATTTCTCAGGGAGTATTTTTTTATGTCCCAGACTTTCTCTGTATGGTCCAGATTTAAATGTGTACTTTCACTCCCATAGCTATATACCCTGGAACTACCATGAGCCATCGCCGGGTGTCTATAATTTTGATGGTGACAGAAACTTGGAGGGATTCCTGGATCTGGCTGCCCAGTTTGACTTGCTGGTGATTTTGCGACCTGGCCCCTACATCTGTGCTGAATGGGAGATGGTAAGGGCTTTGTAAAAGATTCAGATGGGTGGAGACTTATTTTCAGCATTATAAACCTTTCAAATCAATGACTGCTACTCTTTCATGAATCTCCTCCACACAGGACTTCTGTTATTCTATGTTTATTAGTAATTGGACTGTTTTAGTTTACTGGATCAGCCAAATTCATTTCCAAAGTGAAAAAGTCCAAAGCACTTCAAAGTGACTCATAGAGCTGAACCTCATAAATGAATGGAGAGAACCCATGCAATGTGTGCCATATAAGGAAGATATGGAAATGTAATGGGAGTGGGAACTTCGATAATGTTGAGTGTATTGAGAGGCATGAATCCCACTAACACTCTCCAATTAGACATTTTATGCAGAGGGATTATGCATGAGCATTTAAGTTTGTTTGTTTGTTTTTTTTCGCATATTTGTATCCTGTCCTTCTCACCCCTGGAGAAGGACTTAGGGCAGCTTCACAACAGGCATTCATTCAATGCCAACAACAGTAATAAATAATAATAGCAATTAAAACAATTCATTAAGGTATTAAATTATTAAAACATTTGTTTAAAATCACACAGGTTTAAAATCATAGTTCGGGTCAGTCCGTTGTCATTCACACAAAGTTATTGTATAATCATTCTCCCCTGGTTCTTCGCCTTCTATTAATAGCAGGCCATGAAAGGTGGGGGTTTTTTGGTCTTGCTGGGTCTTTTTAAATTTTCTTTTGTAATTTCCATTTGTTTTAGATAGTAATACTTACCCTTCCTGTACCCACTGTCACTAGTAGTTGTTGTTACATTAGTGTTTAATGGAAGTGGGCAACTTAAGTTACTTCAAAAAAGAAAAAAGAAAGAAAAAAGCAAAGCATTATCTGTAACTATATTGAGATAGGAGAAGATCCCAGAGTTGTTTTTTTGGTTTTCCAATGGGAACGAACTCCCAATCTACATTCTTATATTTTAATTTAGATTAGGGTTTGGAGTAATCCTATGCAAATTGGGATGACATTTAAATCACTGTATTGGTCTCCAAACTGAATTGGTAGCCCTGTGCACAGAATTACATAACATGTTTTTGTGGAGTCTGCCACTTGTTATACTGCTTCAGTAACTACCTGTATGCAAATTTCAAATATGCTTTTGTAGATCTACTATTTCTTACTTACTGGCACATATACACTCAGAATTCTATTTGCAATGCTGGTTTCTTAGTTCTCCTTCTTTCCTAGGGTGGCCTTCCATCCTGGCTCTTGGCGAACCCAAATATTACCCTGCGCACATCTGATCCAGGTAAGATGGAACATCTCAGAGCAGAGATCTTCCCCCTGGATTTCGGTGGCAGTTTCCATGAAACTGGAGAACCCATGGCTCTTCAGATATTTTTGGAATTCAGAACTTCCTTCAGCCCCACCAGCAAAGCCAGTAATCAGGGATTATGGCAGTTGCAGTCCAACACTACCTGGGAAGCTGACGGACTGCAGTTCTAGTATCTTTAAGGCAGTTTTGTTTTGTTTACAGCAAGCTTTTAGATGGCTGGTCGTCTGGGCTTCCCAACTTTCACATCTCTTCTATAAAAGTATTTACGTATTATTTATTTACGATATTTCTACCTTTTTCAAACCCAAAGGTGACTTAAACGTAAACCCCTATGAGTACTGCATACAGGCCAAAAGTCCCTTTCCATTTTCACAATCTCCAACAACTGTACTATCATTTTGTTTTTAAACTGCAGAGAGGAGCCCCTGTTATGACTAAGTTAGTTGATTTTTGCCCTCAGATTTCCTGCAAGCTGTGGACAAATGGTTGAGTGTACTGCTGCCCAAGATCAAACCCCATCTCTACATCAATGGAGGGAACATCATCAGTGTCCAGGTGCGTCCAGCGCAAACCAAGGTAGCATATCACTGCCACTACCTGAGCACTTTGGATTTTAGTGATATACTGTCTTTGTGGCTTCTGCTTTCCCTAGAGAATGATAGTAGTGACAATACAGTGGTAATCGAATTGGCCTGTGCTGGATATTTAAAGATTCAATAGGTGAAGTTTCTCCAGGTATCTCATTTCCTATGAGTCAAGTGTTGAAGGAAAAAAATAGTTTCTTCTCTGGTCACATCCTGAACCTCCTAGCATTTCTAGAACATTACCACGAACATTTTGTGTATAACTTGAAAAACTGTACAGGATCCAGTGGTTGGTTCACTGAAGTTGTAGGGCTAAAATGGGTTCACATACAAATATTTTTGTGTCACTACTCTGTTTAATTTCTATACCACCACTTCTAAAATAGCTGCTATATGTGAACCGCTTCAAGGCCCCAACTTCTTCAGTATAGCCTTGGAAATAACAGTTGGTGGGCATGCTTCAGCTTTGGCCTTGGCAACATTCCCTAGGAAACACTATTACAAATGGTAGAAGAGCACTGATTGTGTGTAGAGAAGGCTTGGGAGGTACCAGGGGCCACCAGGTAGGAATCACATTCTTAAATCATTGCTTCACATTTGTCATTCACTGTCAATTATAAGGAGCATTGTTAAAACTGAAGTCCTTCAGACACATGAAGGGCCTGGGTATTTGCCTCTTTCCCAAGTTATTTTCAGCTTAGGGTGACTTTATTCTGGGATTTTGTGGCAAATTTGTTTAGAGGGGTTTCCTTTTGCTTTCTTCTGTGGCTTAGATATAGTGGTGACTTGCACATGGTCACCTAGTGAGTTTCAAGACTGAGAATGGATTCTAACCACTACACCATATTGCTCTTAGTGCTTGACAGATGAAGTCTGAATAAAGGTGTATTAAAAAAGAAGCTTTAAATAGGTTTTCTGCATCACTACTCTTAACACCTTCTGTTCTCCAGGCAGGTGGAGAATGAATATGGGAGCTACTATGCTTGTGACTATGACTATCTGCGCCACCTGGTGGCTGTCTTTCGTTCCTACCTGGGCAAAAAAGTTGTGCTCTTCACCACTGATGGCACCAAAGAGTCTGAACTGCAATGTGGGACACTGAACGGCCTTTATACAACTGTGGACTTCGGACCAGGTAGTTTAAGGTTGGGTGAATAATGATGGGGCTGGCAGGAACCTGGAAGGAATCTTGTTTTGATTTGTTCAATTCTATGTCCTTTAACAGACGAAAATGTGACAGAGGCATTTGAGAAGCAGCGCATACATGAGCCGAATGGTCCACTGGTGAGAAGCTAATTATCTGGTGCTGAGGCCATGAAGCCTGCAATCCAGTGCTTTAAGCTATGATTTTGTCCCCAGTCACTCTGAATGTTTGCCAATTATTACTATTATTATATTTGTTTATACCCCACTTTATCTGCCCAAAGGGGACTCAAAGTGGCTTGACAGAAAAGCATTGGAATCCAATTTAAAATATACAAATATACAAACATTAAAACTGAATTAAACACAAACAGTGTTTAAAAAATAAGCTAAAAGCCATCAAAACACATTGAAATTTAAAAACTTTAGCATCCCCTGACTAGATCCCCTACCAAGGATGCCAGAGGGTAGGACTTCTTAAACCTTTTCTACTTGTGACACCTTTTGGCCTGATAAACATTTATGTCACCCTGGGTATGTAAATTAGGTATAAACATCAAACATTTACTGATAACAAATCAGCATTTGCAAGGCTTGCTAAACAAGTTCTTTTTATAAAGTACAGCTGAAGCATCTTCTGCAGAGTCCATGCCAAACACTGCACAACAGATTCATATGAATCACTTTACAAAGCCAAAAGCTTAGACATTTTTTACTGCTACAAAATGTTTCAGGACCCCAAACTTGTGCAAAGGGGACTCATTTAGGGTCTGGACTTACAATTTAAGAAACAATGATCTAGGGCAATCCTGCCTTTTGGCAGCTGCTTCCGAGGTCCTTATCAGACAAAATAGCCAGCAGATACATATTTTACATACATAAAAACAGTTTTCACAATACAGACTGCTCTGGCCATTGCAGGTGCAAGATATTAATCATGTTCAAGGAGCTTCCAATACAGGGAAGAGAGTAAAATTGGTACATCCGGCCTCCAGATGCTTCATTGGAAGCTACTTCTGCTACTTCCCCATTAATGTCCAAATTCTCCTTTCCTCCCAGGTGAATTCAGAGTACTACACAGGCTGGCTGGATTATTGGGGTGAACTACATTCTACAAAAAGTGCTGCAGAGGTGGCCCATGGCCTAGAGAAGATGCTAGAGTTGGGAGCCAACGTCAACATGTAACCGTGAGACCATAGGGGAGTGTGGGCTGTGGGATAGAAACAATAGGTCAGATTACTTGAAATAAAAAAAAAGCAGGTACCCGCCGAGGATAGAAGCTGTGCCTCTTTGCTTCACCTTTTTCACTACAATTCTCAAGTTGCCCTTAAGAACTATGTGCATAAATCAAGACATCTCATATTATCTTTAGCTATTTGAATAACTGATAGAAGTTTCATGCAGAACAAAGACCTATGGCTACGCATGCGTTCCTATCCCAATTTATATTTTGTTCTCCTATCCATCACTGCTTCATTATTTTGATGGGAGGGAGATTCTTATTGTGATATCTGACTTTTTTACAGGTATATGTTCCAGGGCGGTACCAACTTCGGTTACTGGAGTGGTGAGTTCTGGCTCCTTTGGGCTGCTGCCATTAAGGGAGGCCTCACTTCTGATCAGAGAATTTCATCCAGGGTGTCTTATTTTCATTTTCTTTTCTGTGCAGGCGCAGATTACAACAACGGCATCTACAATCCCATCACTACTAGTTATGATTATGATGCACCTCTCTCAGAAGCTGGAGACCCGACTGACAAGCTGTACGCTATTCGGACAGTCATTGGCAAGGTAGCAGTCCACCAGCTGGAACATAGTTGAAAAACCTTCTTGGAAAAGGAGCTCCTTATCACTGAACCTGCAGTAATATCACAGTGTTTTCTCTAATGCACAGTCAGGATATTACTTAGAGGTTTAGATTTACACTGGACTCAGTTCCACAACATACTACTTGTAAAAATCAGAACCTACAACTCAATTCAGTTGTTGAGAATGGAGCAATATATATACTAGTTCAGGAAATGGACTCATGCTCAGCATAAAGTCATCAGTTTCAGGTAGCTAATGAGGAAGCAAAGTGGCAAACTAGTTGGTGGGTGGCAAATCATTCTGGCAGCTGCTCCAATCTATGGCTTATCCACTGTCTCTCAAAGTGTCCAGCTGGCTTGGAGATTAAGATCATTTGGGGAGGCCTGCTCTCGGTTCCGTCACCCTTACAAGTGCATCTGGTGGGAACGAGACAGGGTCTTCTCAGTGTTGGTCCCTCAGCTGTGGAACTTCTTCCCCAGCGACATTACATCAGCCCCCTCCCTCCTAGCTTTTAGAAGGAAAGAAAAAACCTGACTCTGGGATCAGGTGTTTGAAGAATAGTGCAGTGTAATAGACTGGTATATGTGCAATGATTACAGAACTGCCTTGGGTTATGATTTTTGGATGGTGTGAATTAACACTGAATGTAATGCTTTTAAATGGTTAATATTTATTTTAATTCAATTGATTTTAAGCTTAATGTTTGTATATGTTCCAAGGCATTGAATAATTGCCATATATAAACTGCCTTGAGCCCCCTTCGGGGTAGAGAAAGGTGGAGTATAAATAAGGTACATAAACAAACAAATAAATAAGTGAGGGAAGAGCAGAAAGGCATGCATATGTTTTAATAGCACTGCATTGTCATAAAACAGAACAGCGTGGGGTGCAATCATTTTCATTGTTTACTCTACCAAGGTGATATTAGTGATTTAAAGGGTTTGCCCCAACCCATTTTATGTTAACGTAGGTTAGATCAAAAAGGTAATTGGTATATTGGTACTCCAGGTATTGTCCCCACCTGCAAAGTGCAGTCAGCATCCTTAACAACTGTTGTTTAAAAACACCCAGTTTCAGGTGCTTCCTGCAGGACCAATGCCACCCCCTACACCGAAGTTTGCATATGGATATGTATCCCTACCACAGGTGAGTCAGAGCTGGAAAACATTCCTTCGTAAGTTAATGCCTTTGGCTGGCCCTGCCTCCCTCCTGCTGCTCCTTAAATACCTATATATATGCAAAGTTTCTGTTGGGACTTTTCTACACTCATATAAGCATTAAGAAGATTTGAGTGCTTCCTGAAGACTGTTGCTAGACCCCTTTTTTCATTTTTAGATTTTTTTTAAAAAAATTAAGTAATCCCCACTGTGTTTTCTGACTTTATTGTGTGCCTATATGCTTAATTTCAGAGATGTAAACCACTTTGGAAAAGGTTATTTAAAAAGCAGGATATACTGTATCTTTTTCTTCTATAGTGTGTGGCCCTGTTGGATATTCTAGGCATTCTTTCACCATCCCTGCCATTCTATTCCTCCTTCCCAGCCACCTTTGAGGCCCTCAAGCAGGTATGAAGGGGACCAGGAATCTGTAGCTCTTTCCATTAGAAGTGCTGAGAAAGCCCAATGGGCTTTGACTTCTCCTGTTATAATGTAGATTCCTTTTCATGAAGTGATCTCTATTCTGTATTCCAGCCCAGTGGCTTCATGCTGTATCGGACATTTCTCCCACATGACATCCAGGAGCCAGTTGTGCTCAGTGCCCCTGAGGATGGAATCCATGATCTTGCCTACATTCTGCTCAATGGAGTAAGAGGGAAAGTTGGAACCTTCCTTGTAGACAGGGAAGCTGAGTATTCACTGAAGTTAACTGCAGAATGACACATCTACTAGTTCAATGGCCCATCCCATTTTACTGGGACGGGAAAAGGCTGCAGAAGAATGAATGACTCCTTAAATAAAACACCTTCTGAACCTATTTCTTCCTTTACTACATCAGGTGTATAAAGGGACACTGGAACGGAACAAAGTAAATGGAATCAATATATCTGGCCAGTTAGGGGACACTTTGGATCTGCTGGTGGAGAGCATGGGCCATATCAACTTTGGAGCCAATGGGAGTGACTTTAAGGTACATCTCAAAAGGGCCCTTTGCCAGCTTTGTGCTTTGAATTCTTTCCGTGTTAATAAGGATGCATCTACACTGTAGAATGAATGCAGTTTGACTCCCCTTTAACTGACATGGCTGAATGTTGTGGAATCCTGGGGATTGTAATTTGGATCTGCACCACCATTCCTTGGCAGAGAATATTAGACCTAGCACTTACCCGTGGCAGCTGAAGTGTGGTCAAACTGCTTTAATTCTATAGTGCAGATGCACCCCCAAAGAAAGCCATAGGCTTTGTAGCTTTGTTTTTCATCTTTTCTAAGAAAGGACGAGAAAGCTACCCTGGCCCTTAAAAGTAGGGGGTGGGGCATAGGAAAATTAGTTTCTCCCAGAACAGACTACGCTCTTGCCTTTTGACATTCTACTCAAGAGAATGGAATTGTTCCTTTAAAAAAATAAGAGTTAAGGTACAGTATTTACATTGATTCAGTGTTACTTGACTCAGAGTTTTGGGTCACATTTTGATTAAAATATCTAGATTTGTACATGAGTATATACAGTAACCATAACTGAAATATAGCTGCCCCACTCCAGGTTGCAGCTGACTGCTCTCTTCTCCCTTACCTTCCTGTCCAGGGTTTGGTCAAGAATCTCACACTGGGCTCCAACATAGTCACTGACTGGCTCATCTACCCCCTGGGCATTGACAAAACCGTGTCTCATTCATGGCCCCCTGTTGCCCCACTCTGCCATGGGACAGGGCCTGCTTTCTACACAGGATTCTTCACAACACTTGGCATCGCACAGGACTCCTTTGTGAAGTTCCCAGGTTGGAACAAGGTACTGCATATCTCAGATGGTCAATAGAACTAAGCTTTATTTTCCATTTGGCAGCCATACTACTTCCCCAGGTTTTTAGCATCCCCTTCATCTCTAGTTTTGGAGAGAGGGATGTCCCTGTTGAACAAACTGCAGATCTTATGCCACATAGACATGAGATAATCAAAGTGCAGAGGACTGAAGGGGGAAATCTCCAAGTAAATTATTTAATCCTTTCCTTATCAGCTATATTAACAGTACTCAACAGATTATGCTAAGAGCATGGACAGAAATGCACTTCAAGACCATTTAACTCTAGCAAGATACAGTGGAACTATTTTTAAAATAATACATTTGTCACTTTAAAAATATGTTGTTTTGGACCATTTCTTTTCCACCTGGCCCTGCAGATTACTGCAGCAATACCATATTTCATTGAATCTAAGGTGCACTTTTTCCCATTTAAGGGGCTACAAAAAAGGGTGTGACTTAATTTCACTGGCACCTTAAATTCACTATATTTTTCCTGCAAAACTATCTTCCAAGTGAGAGGAGGAGGAAGTGCCCCGGTCCCAAACAGCACTGCCACATTTTCAACATTTTGTTCTGAGCTGTTTACTGTTATTACCACTTCCTGCTTCTGCTGTCTCGCCAACAAGTCCATAGACTTATTACTTTATAGATTCATGGAGCCCCCGGTGGCGCAGTGGGTTAAAGCCCTGTGCTGGCAGGACTGAAGACCGACAGGTCACAGGTTCGAATCCCGGGAGAGGCGGATGAGCTCCCTCTATCGGCTCCAGCTCCTCATGCGGGGACAAGACAGAAGCCTCCCAGAAGGATGAGAAAAGCATCAAATCATCTGCGCATCCCCTGGGCAACGTCCTTGCAGACGGCCAATTCTCTCACAACAGAAGCGGTTGCTCCTGACACGACAAAAAAAAATGCAGATAGATGACTTGCAGGTCTTTTTACACTTACCTCCTCACTCCACAGGAAAGTTTGCACTACAAAGCCATATTGAAACAAACAAACAAACAAAAAGGTATTGTGCATGCAGAGCACATTCTAAAAGAAATTCAAAGAAAATCTTTTTTTTTTTATTAAAATGGAAGTTTACATCTGACGGCGCCTAACATTGGGTGAAATATGCTAGTTAACAGAAATGTTGCCTTATAGAATCCCTAATATTATTTTCTTTCTTCACCCAGGGCCAGATTTGGATTAACGGCTTTAACCTGGGGCGGTTCTGGCCAGCCCGTGGACCTCAGCAAACTCTCTTTGTGCCCGGTTCCCTCTTCAGTTCTTCGACTATCAACACCGTTGTAGTTCTGGAGCTGCAAAATGCTCCAGAGAAGCCCAGGTTGCTCTTCCTTGACCGGCCTCTTCTCAATGGTACCCAGACCTCCACCCACAAGAACCAAATAAAAGCAACACCTATCTAGCTATATAGTTGCTGAAAGCTGGCTCTAAAATATTTTAAAAAAAGAAACCCTTACCCTAAAGCTGCCATGGAATCGAACAAATACAGAGAACTCTTCAGATAAAGGCTTTGTTTCTTTATGCCCAGTAGTGATTTAAGACAAGAACTGCTCAAGGGAACTATAATTTATGCAGAAAAAGGAACCACATAACTATTGTTCACACCTGATATTACAAAGAGGATCTCAGCATGAACAAAAACTTGATGTCTAAATTTTGCATTTTATAAAACTGCCTCCAAAATAAACAGAGACAAATCTGGTATGGCTGTAATTCACAATCCAGTCAAGGGTCGTGAAAAGAAAATGAAGGGGAAACAAAAGCATCATGGTTTGTTAGAAGCTAAGCAGGAAATGGAAGGACGTGTGATATAGGATTACTGTATGTGTGTAGGACACAGAAAATGAGCATTTTGTAGTAAAAAAAACCTTTTATCCACCAATAGCACATTGCACATTAAGGACAAGGGTTTTATTATGGCCCTTCAACCATCTGTCACACCTTCTGAAGCAAGAGTCTGCAAACTCACAAGGTTGAATGTGGCAAGGAGATTCGTGTTGCCGCAGCCATCATTCTGTGGAATGAAATATTAGTTGATCAGATATCTTTTTCTCCTCGACCCTGCTGGCAATATTTTCCCAGCTTTGATATACTCAGTGTTGTGATAGGAGATGAGGTTCATTTCCAAATACAACATTTGCATTCTTTTATTATTTCCTGACCATCAAACTTGTCTTTCAAAAGGAGAAAGATAATTTCAGAAAAGGTGACAGCCTAATTGCCCCTGCTCTATGTCTACAGCTCTTCTAAAAACACTATATCTTCCTATACCACATAAGTGTACATAACCATAGAGCAAGGTCTCCATTCAGATTCTTGTAGACATAGACTACTCACACCAGTGCAAAATAATCCATAGCTAGGATGGTGCAGCTTTCCCTTGACGATGAGCTTGGAGACATTTTGTAGAACAGAAGGAAAAGTCAAGATAATGAAAAGGAGTAAGTCCCAGGAGCGACTCCCCACAAAGCCAGCAGCGCCTGAAGATACAAAAGAAACAACATAATATAGACTCAGCTAAAGGACACACCGAAAGGGGGCATCATATGCTAACATACCGGGTATTGGTCAAAGATACACTGGAGTCTTTTAACTGAGAAGCAAGTCTCCTCTCAGCCGCCAGGGCTCGCTAAAAGAAAAACAAACATGCATGCCATTAGGAAAGGGAAACAACTTGCTAGCAGTCAATATAGAAAAGGAGATCAATTTCTTTCTACAAGCTCTGGTTAAAGTAAGCCTAAGAGGTTTTGGTAAGTTACTTTGGGCAGATGATTGTGTAGCAATATCCCAGAGGTGGGTCAAACGATGTGAAAGGAATCTGCTGATATGTCAAACAAAGTGAATGCATTATCCACTTGAGCTGCTTGATGTTTAGAACAGGGCCAAAACTAAACAATTCATTAACATTTGTTAAAAAGCAGAAAGGGCTAAAACAGTGGAAACGATGCACATGTACACTTGAAAAAGAAAATAAGATTAGGCTTCCAAATGCTTTAATAAAATTTAACATCTAAAAGAAACTAGCACTTGTGCCAATTGGGCCTCCAAAGGGAGGACATCCCATAGATGTGGCACCACAGCAGAGATGGCCCTCTTCTATGTTCCTTGTGTAATGCATTGCTCCCACTAGTGACAGCCTCTGTCAAGTTACTTTGTCTCATCTTAGATTTGCAAGATCCTCACCTTTTCACGGTCACTCAGGAGGGCAAAACGCCTTTTCTCATCCTCTTCTTGCTTCTGTGCCTGTAGTGCCTCACGTTCCTCCTTGTCACGCTGCTTCCGCTGTGCCTTTTGGGTGCGTCGGCGCTCGGCCTGTCTGGCTTCCATTTCAGCTGTTAAGGGTCCAGGTACCTGTGGTGAGACTTTAAATGGAAATCAAAGACAACAAGAGAAAGTCCCAGGAAAAAAAATGGCCTGAACATTCCTGAAAAGGAACCCTCAAGTCACCTACTTGTCTTGGAAATGCATTTACACCCTGCTACCAGGTACATACTTCCTGTAGCCATTCTGAAAATGGTGAAGATGCTGCTCTTCCAGTTGCCATTTTGAAAATGGCTGTAGGAGAAAACAGTTTTTGGAGTATTCTAGAGCTCTGGGGTGTTTGTGGCTGAACTTTTTGCATGTTTTTATTCATTCAGGGGCATTATAAGTGGACAAAATTGCCTGAAAGTTGCACTGAGGTTTTTATTTTCATGAAATGAGGTTGGATGTGAGGGATTTAGAGGCCACAAAACTGAACCTCTAGGACTGCATTTTGTTTAGCCCTAATATTTTTTTCTCCTCACATGATTCCAATTGTAAGCTGCTTTCCATACGGATATAAACATGATATCTATGTAATAATTAATATCAACTGAATAAATATTTAGTAGGAAAATGCAGCATTTATCAACAAAGACATCCAGGACTCCATTCCCACTCACCTGAGCCCTGAGGTAGTCGTATTTCTCAGGATGTTCACCCATGAACCTGCGGAATTCAGCACGAGTTTGCTTATCTGCAGATACACAGTATGGAGGTTGCTCTTGCTTGTCCCTGCAATGGGAAATGTGATGGTGCCACATAAATGAGGACCAGGGGTTTTAGGAGCACTACAGATGCTAAATTGTGGCTGATAGATGAAGCAATGTGGCTATGCCAGGGAAAGGAAGCTAAGCCAATCCAGGTGATCAAAAGGTTTTACTTTTGTTCCTGGAACTAATTCAGCCCACGACTGACTAGTTGCATAGCTTTCTATATTCCTAAGGGTCTTTGACAAAGCAATCTGGCTCCTTGAGTCCAATTAATTTTTAATATTGCTGAAGGACCTGGACTCAGATTGTACTGTGTATCGTGTGTCCGCTGATACAGGTACTATGGTCTGCCAAGAGCAGCTGCTAACCAAATCCAGGACAGAAAAACTGGCTCCATACAGAAAGCAAGTGTGAATCAAAAGCCCTGCCTGGAGGTTACAGAGCGGAAAGTCACTCTCACAGTAGGCCTTACCTAAGGGCAGGGTCAGCTCCAATCTCCAACAGCAGCCGCACAACCGTACTCCTTCCTGCTGCCGCAGCCACATGCAAAAGGGTCCAGCCACTCTCATCTAGGGGTGTGTTGAGCAACTGTTGTGGGGCTAAACCATTACATCCATCTCGTTCCTCTTTTGTGCTGTCAGTTATTCCCAGAAGATGTTGCAGTGCTCCTAGGTCTCCTGCCTTACAGGCGGTGAACAAGGCATCCAGCAGGGATACACTGGGAGCATCTGAGAGGGAGAGGAAAATCTTATATGAGCCAAATAATTAATGCCTAAGTATACATTCCCAACATGGAATAAAAACCAAATGGCAACAACAACGTGAACCCCCACCCTCATTATTCAACTGAGCTGGAGGGGTAGGCTTGGCCATTTCAAATGCCATAAACTTTAACATAGGTGTTCAAAGACATAGCCATGTTAGTATGTATCAGTATGCAAAAGCATCTTGCTATACCTTTCATACTAGCTGAAAGAAAAATATGCTTTTGCAAACTGGGTCTGCTTCATCATTATTAAAAACTTTTGAATGCTTCTAACACAATTTTGTACAGTTTTAATAAAATGATTTTAATTGGCTTTATAATGAGTCACCTTGGATCCCTCTCCAGAAGGGTGGCATATAAATAAAATAAATAAAAGTTGTAATAATCTCAGTGTATGCTACAAGCATCTTCCAGTTAGTCTCTGCTGCAATATCCCTTTGCGTACTTTAACACATGTCTCTGGGTGTATGTGTGTATGTGTACACATATACTCACACATTTCAACCTTAGCCTCACCTTGATCTTCCAGTTCTTTTTGGGACTCAGATGATTTCTCACTTTTAGACAATAAAGCCTCAGATGTTTCAGCCCCTACTGAAGTTTCACTGAAAGGTTCTATTTCAAAAGAAACCAAATGTTAAAAGGTGTAAGTAAAGAACAACACTCAAAAAGCAGGGTAATTCCAGACAAGAAACAACCAGGGCCAGCTAATCACCTCCCAACAAAGGACCCCCCAGGCAAGAAGCAGCCAAGCCTTGAAGCTGCAAGGCTATTTAGTGCTAATCAAGGTGGCCAATTGAAACATTCACACTTGCCTCAAGCAGACAAGAGTTCTTTCTCCCACCCTGGACATTCCACAGATATATAAACATCATTTGCCTAGTTTCCAACAGACCTCACAACCTCTGAGGATGCCTGCCATAGATGTGGGTGAAACATCATGAGAGAATGCTTCTGGAAAAAATTCAGGGAAACCCAGTAATTCCGGCCATGAAAACCTTCAACAACACATAAAAATGTGTACTTTTGGCAAACCATTACTATCGCAGCACCATTCCTATCCTGTCTTCAGTACAACCCAGAAGTGGATGTGAATACTTCAATGAAACAATGATGTTTCTGGAAGTTGACCTTCTGCACCTTGCGCAGAAAGAGCGCCAGGAATCGACTGTAGAATGAGCAGAAAGTAGCTCCTCTCCTTCATTGCTTATACAATTAAGGGAACTATGGGGAGAGGTACATCATCAAAGCACAAGTGTATAAAAACTGTTATTACTGGACAGCCTTCATAACTGCATATATCCTTGGGTGCTTTTAAAAATGGAATGTGTTGTTTAAAATATAAAATGGTCAGTAAAATGGGCCAAAAATGAATTATTTCTGTCCAGGAACAGTTCCATTATCTCAGTCACCAACCTCTGAAAGTTTTTGGTTTCTTCTTTTTCTTCTTGTGGTTCCGTTTTGGTGCCACCTCAAATTCACGCAGTTCCAGTGTAGACAGTGTCGTCTCCACCATTTCTAGCTGATTCAGACTTTTCTCTTCATTTTCTTCCGCTTCTTCCTCTGTCTTTACTGGCAAGACTATAAAAAAGGAGACATGGGTCAGTCTGTCCTCACTACCAAATGAACAAAAGTGGTATTCTTACACAACCATGACTGTTATCACATCCTTCATTATTACCAGCTTCTGTCCCCATTTGAGAGTCTTTGTGCCCAGTCTTTTTTCAGGAACTTCTCACTAAAGCTGTTTCCAATTGCAGGGAAAATGCCCAAGGCCTTGGTGTCTTCTGCAATGGGTTTTCCACTAAGTGGCCTAAGAGCTGGATTGGAAAAGCTGAGAAAGCATGGGCATTGCTACAAGACAAAGTACGGCAAGGCAGGGACATTTACTTAGAGGATTTACACCCTGTCCTTCAGACAAAAAGGCTCACAGAGTTTACATTTTTTTTTTCAAGAAAAAAAATCTTTAACTCACCAGTATCTTGACCTTGTGAAAAGGCTTCATCCTGATGAACAACTTTTTTCCAACTCTTTCGAGGAGAACCAATGAGATCTGTCACTGCTGTGTCTTTTCCTGTCAAAAAAGCAGAATATGAAAAAACCACTTAGGAGTCCATAATCTCCATCAGCATTTTCATTAACAAAGTCTTCTTGGTTTCACACTGCAATTAAAAATATCCAATTGGGATTACATACAATTTACTCTACTGCCAACAGTATCCCAATGTCATCTCCAGCTCACAAGTCACAATGAAAAAACTTTAGCCAGGGCAGCTTAAATTATGTGAATTATTGGGGTAGAAAGTGAAGTAGTGGAATCCTTGCCCATCCACTTGGGAGGCGGTAAAGGAGGATCTTGTTCTCCAGGGGAAGGAGGAAGATGAGGCAGTAGTGCTAAGTCAAACTCCTCACCAAAGGGAAAAAATGACACTTGCAGTGCTAGCTCTGAATAAAGTGGCCACTGTTTCCCCAGATAGCTTCACAAAGAATAGGAGAATGATGCAAGAAGGAAAGGTGCCATTATAACCCATGCCTCATGCTGCAGGACACAGCTGCAGTGACTACTTTTGTGTCCTAGATGAGGAGATGAAAATGGAGCTTCCCTCAAAGAGGCAGAGAATGTGACTGCAATACTTCTGTGACCCTATTGCACAGGACCAACAACTTCTTCAATCTTGTGTGACCTCTGCCACAAGAAGGGGAGGTAGCAAAGCTGTTGTTACGACCACCTTTTTCTTTGTAGGGGGCACAAAAGCTGCCACTGCATCCTCTTTCAATGGTACAGTAGAGACCGTCACCCTTTTTGCAATGATGGAGACAGCAGACACTGGTGGCTTTCTGGGTTTGAGGAAAGGATGAGCAGTAGTACCTTCCTAAAATACCTTTGTAGGATAGTAGGGACCCTGCAGAGGAGGAAGCAGCAAAATTGTTCCTCCTACCATCCTACCACCCAGAAATCCTAACAGCTGGTAAACTGGCTGGGATTTCTGGGAGTTGTAGGCCAAAACACCTGGGGACCCACAGGTTGAGAATCACTGCATGATAGGAAGAAGAGATATCCATAACTGCTAAACACAAAGCCACTCTTTCAACAGTGTTGAAAAGAGTATGCTCACCATATACTTGCAGGCTGCTCAGGACCCCATGCACTCTCTGCACCTCATCGAAGGTTGCTCTCCGAGTGCTAAAAGGAATGCCCCGAATCCGGGGATCATTTCGTTGAAGAGGGCCATTTTTGCTGCCAAAGAAATGAGCCCTGTTGGTGCGAGGGGCACGCAGGAAGATACACTCTGCTTCTTGTAAATGCCTTGCCCAGTTGACCAACAACTCCTGAATATCCTGTGGGAAAAGAGAATGGTTAATCCTTTCATGTACAAAGTATCCATCTCAGCATATGCCCCCGTGGCAGGAATGCAGTGAAAGTAATGCTTGGCCTCAATGCAACATCTCATCAATTGTCCAAGGGATTTCTGTGACCGATATATCTTTCCCACATAAAATCCTCATTTTATGCATGGTGAAGAATCCTGTTCCTTTCTCACCTTGAGCAGAGCAGCCTCATTATAGCGCCGCAATGAAGCCCCAGCTGATTTAGGCATCGAGCCTTGAGCATCCCTTACTCCTTGGGCTGTACCCCTGCGGGCTCGCACTGTGTACCGATGGAAAGTCTTGTGTTCCAGTACTTCATTCCTGGGAGCAAAGTCAAGAAAAGCATACAGCAAAAGCCAATATCCACGTTATTTGGGAATGCTATATGCTCAGGACTCAGGATTTATCTACAACTTGAATGTGGTCCAGGTGTACATAGACAAGTGGGAAACACCCATCCTCTATGTAAATATGCATAACATACACATCCTTTCCCACCTCACCAATCTTCACCTCTACATGAACTGTGACATACTATTCAAGAACAGGGTGAGAAATCTTTTGCAGCTTTAGGAGCAAATTCAGTTTCCAATAAATTCTCAGGGAATTCTAGCAATGCAAAAGCCCAAAAGGTAGGATCAAAAAGGCCAGCATATTTTAACTTAAAGCACTTACTGGCAGAAGGTAAACCTTAGGAAAGGTACTCAGCCTTTCAGAATGGGAGAAACCCCATTTTAAAGCTAAAAAACTAGGAAACAATGTTGTAATGGAAAGAAGAATTGGCCATCTAGAGACACTAGAAAGCCAGTCTGGAATATCCTAAGGCCTGATTCACCACTAGGTTCTCAATTTCCTTAATAATACTTCAAATCGTATTGTCTTTAGCCAGCCACACTCTATCAGAGATTCTACAACTCAGCAAGGATCTCCATGACAGCCAGCATTCTTACCCTTTAAATACTGCTCCAGCAAAGTGTCCCCCACCAGCCATCAGAATAACCCAGGTGATCTTGGGGTTTTGTCTCTGAAGGGATGCCACTAACTCTGCAGGATGCTCCACAATGCCCTGGAGATACACAGTTACTTATCAGATAAGGAGGAAAAGCAGAATGAGTAATGGGACATATTCAGCTTGGCTGTTAAACAGAAATGGGCAGAGTGTTATTTGGATCTGCAGAAGAAAGCTGACAGTACTGCTAAAAAAACCTGTATTGCTGCCTGTGAGAAAGCCTGCAAATGGTTCCAATGATATCAAAGTTTTAAAAAACTGTACAATTAAGGTCAAGGACAAGAATTGCAAATGACTGTTCCTCCCCAGACAAGTTTTGAAAGCAGAGCTACTGCCTTTATATGTTCCACGTAGTCCCAACCTCTTCCAGAAAACAGCAGACACAGGAGAGGTAAAACCATGGGGCAGTGTGGCAATACAACTCGATAGTCAGGGAAGGGTCAAAGCCAGGTGATTAGGGCAAGCAGGGATTGGCCTTACAGATTAACAGTAACAAGGCCAAGACCTCGGGAACAGCTCCAAATGGTTGAAATAACAATATCACAGTAAGACTCAGAATACCTTGAAAGGGGAATATTGGCAAATAAAGCAGGTAGGTAGGCAAGAGATGTAAACATGGCAGGAGTAAAGTTATGCTGTAACACAGACAAGCAGCTTTTTGAAACCTGGCCACAATATGACCCTCTATTGGGATCATCACAGGCAACTGGTAACTACAGTACAAAGAGGAAGAAACCTAGGAAAGGAATGATGTCTAGTGGGTTATTTGCTTTGTAACATGCCTTTGTAGTGCACAGCACACAGCGATAGACTGCTATAAGCTGGCATTGGGAATTTCTGAAGAGAATTCGCTGAGACCGTGAAAGATGTGTTGAGGAATTCTGATTTCTGTTCCCTTTGTCTTCATTGTTCTGGTAAGATGCAGGTTCAGATTCACTGTCTGAGTCACAGTCACTGGAATCCGAGCCAGAGATGCTGGAAACATCACCTGTGTACCAACAGAGTGACAGAAGATCACAAATCTTGCCACTCAAATTTTACTTTAGGAAGAACGGAAAACTTCCTGCCTAAGCTAAATCAGTTCTCCAGTGGAAGGATGTGCCTAGATTTAGAGGATAAGGCAGCTTAGCATATTGCATTATCAGTTCAGTATCAATGGAAAAAGTGCAAGAATTTCTATAATAAGAAATCATTACATGAATTAATTCCCCACATAAAATTAACTATAAAGGCAGTCATCAGGGACTAGGTAGTCAATCCCTTTTGGGCTTCAACTTCCAGAAATCCCAGCCAGTTTATCAGCCAGTTTGGGAGTTGAAGGACAAAACATCTGGGCACCCACAGGTTGAGACCACTGGTCTAAATGAATGACTCTAGAGCAGTGGTTCTCAACCTGTGGGTCCCCAGGTGCTTTGACCTACATCTCCCAGAAACCCCAGCCAGTTTACCAGCCGTTAGCATTTCTGGGAGTTGGAGGCCAAAACATCTGGGGACCCACAGGTTGAGAACCACTGCTCTGGAGTGACCTGGAGCCTTTCACTGAGATTCTACCAGATAAAGTACAATGCTCCACTTCTATAGTTCTGTATCCTACTCCGAGCCCCAGAAGCAGTCAAATTTTGGGATTGGCTACTACTGAATGATTTTGCCTAGAGGCTATGAAAAAAGAGCTTGTCTATATTTGGAAGAGGAAGAAATAAGGGTGCGCGTGATTCTCACCCCTGTATTTTCTTCATCTGGTTTGCCTCTTTCATCCCTGCTCTTCCCAGTGAAAAGCAGACTTTGGATGAAGCATATTATTGTGTCTCAGTTAAAAAAGAGACATTCATATGGATAATCTACATTTAACTTCCACCCTTTATTTACGCCAGGGCAACACTTTATAATGAGCATCAACACATGTAAAGTCCAAACAATATACCTGCCTGGGTCTTCACTTCAAATTCTTCAACTGTGAGCATCTGTCGGCCCAGGAGTCGCTGCTTTAAGTTGAAACGGTGCCAATCTAGGCGATAATGCTCAGTCTGAGTAGAAAAAAGAATTGACAGAGAGAAAACACATGTGGGAGACAATAGTATCTGGTTCAATGTTTGATTATATATACCAAATTTAACTAGGCAAAATAATCTCTCTGCATTAAGGTCAAAGCACCTAATACCTGAGTAAGAACAAACAGCACCAAGGTCAGCCCCAAATATAAACCACTTATCTGTCCTTTGATTACAGAATTACAAGTTTTATCATATAGTGACCTAGATTTGCAGTGAAGGTAAGGACAAGAGGTTCCTGAATTTAATCTGAGAAGAGGATATGACAAGAATTTTCCATTTTTTGTGTACACCCCCCCCCCCCCCCCCCCCCCACACACACACATTTCAAAGGAAATCGTCCATCAGTACCTACCTGTTCTTCTCGACTGTCAAAACTCTTTGAACAGGCAGAGCAATACATCCAGTCTGACACTTCCAAGACCATGCTAGATTGATCCGGACTTTTAGTTACTATGGACAACAGAAAATCAGCCAGAATACAGAAATAAATACAAATTCACATGTAAGTAACATAAATCTAATTTAATTCACAAATACAATGATATGAGATGCACATTTCTTTCAAATTCAGAATTACTCAAGAATGCCACAATCATTTTATGAAAGCAGCACCCAAAGATTAATACAGAACACCCAGAAGAGGAAAACAGATTTTGGGAGAACTACAAACTAGTTTGAACTCCAGTACATAGATGTCAATGTACTAAAGTTGCATACTAAAGATACCACTATATGATATCATTGGTATGTAACATTAAATTATGACCTAGTCTAAACATGTCTTATTTCTACATTCTTACTTGAGATGCTACGTTTGAACATGAATGGTGGCTTAATATGCTATATATATTGCAGTTGTGAGAAAAGAAGAAGAACTTTTGGTTTTGATTTTAGATAAACCAGGGTTTCTATGGCATCTCAAGCAGCTATTTGTTCACACCAGAGTTGGAGAAGCTTTGATAAATTATTACTTCCATGATTCTCATATTGATAAGGCTGGCTACATCCAAGTTGGGAGGTCAACAACTTCTAGGAGCTGCAGGTTCTCAGGCCCTGATTTAAATTAAAAAGAATAAGCCCGAATGTGAAACTGTGGGTTCATCACGGCCTGGTCACTCTAAGCAGTTTCATCTGAGGATAACATATAACAGAATATTAAATCATGTTATTTCTACAGAAAACAAAATCATTCAGCAGTGATTCTTTCAGTTCAGACATCACAGAGAACTGTGATTTCTTTAAAAGTGAAAATAGCAGCTCTCTGTGACCTTCCCTGGTACATGAAAGAGAAAGAGGAAGACAAAGGCCAGACACCATTATTAATCATGACATCAAAAATAGAATTGATACAGTTTATATTACCGATATTATGTACCACCGACATGATAAACTGAAGCACAGCTTTCCATTTGATAAAAATGTACTGAAATAAAAGTTTAGAAAAATTATGTTCTGAGTCCAGTTACCATCTTCTTTGGAATAAAGAATAAGTGGACTAGAAACTGAATTCTGAGAATGAAAACAGCAGTTCTTGGTACTTTTGGGTCTGGCTTCTTTGATTAGTCCCAACTCCCTGCAATGAGGTAATTATTTACATTTATACCCCTCTTTTCCATGAAAACTGAGATGGGTGATACTTACAAATTAAAATTATATGTATATACACACACAAGATTGATACTAAAATAGAATTACTGTCATTAAAATGGAATTAAATTTAATCATCAGTCTGTAAGCCAACTGGACTGGACTGACAACTGGACTGAAATGAATTCCCAAGAAACCATGCAACAGGGTGATAAAATGGAAAAATATGTGACTGGTCTTTGAAACAGCAAGGTGGAATGCTAATCCACCAAATCAGATAGTTTAAGAAGCATTGAGCTAGAGAATTTAAGTATAAAGAACCCCCAAATCTGTTAAACAGTTACCTAGAGCCAGACCATTTACTCAGTTATTTAGTTCTTAGAAAGTATTAACCTGGAGCTGCAATAGAGGTGACATCTTCTGCTGACTCAGTGACAAGTCGAAGTCCATCCATTAAAGGCGTGTTCTGAGCAGCCTCAAACACGGACAATGTCTCAGCAGGCTTCATGATCTGAGTAGAGGAAAAAAGAACCAACAAGTCTTGAAGTGAGTAAGAAGACTTTCCTTTATGGTTGTAAGCCTCCAGATTCAATACAGAAATTGACAACTCTCTCTTTGGCAGACTTTCTCAGATATTCAGGTCAACTGAAATTTGAAGTTTCCTATGCTTCAAGAAAAAGGCACCGAAGCAGTTTCACAGAAAGCATTGAGCCAGGGCAATTAAAGTGATGTGGAAATACACTCATTTCACAGTGTAGATACAGCCTTTCAGCCTCATGACACTACACCATGAATTCACTTTAAATCCGGTTTCTGCCTCCTGAATAATTTTGGGGTTTGTAATTTAGTGAGGCCCAGGACCTCTAGCTGAGCAGCTTAAAGGTTCCTCCCTAAACTACAAACAGAAACTGGATTTAAAGTGGATCCATGCTCTAGTTCAGTGGTTCTCAATCTGTGCTCTCAATGATTCTCAACCTGTGGGTCCCCAGATGTTTTGGCTTTCAACTCCCAGAAATCTTAACAGCTGGCAAACTGGCTGGGATTTCTGGGAGTTGTAGGCCAAAACACCTGGGGACCCACACATTGAGAACCACTTCTCTAGTTTGATGAGGTCCTTTGTATCCAACCCCACATTGGACTACAACACTCTCACCATGGCAGACCATTAGCCACGTTCTCGGGGGATTTATTTATTTATCGTGTCAGGAGCAACCCAAAACAGTTGTATTGCAGTAAAAACAAACAAACAAAACACAAAGTTTGCAGGCTTGGTGTTCTATTAAATGTCCTTTGACCAGTAATTGGCCACTTGGAGTGCCTCTGGTGTTGCTGCAAGAAGGTCCTCCATTGTGCATGTGGCAAGGCTCAGGTTGCATTGCAGTAGGTGTTCTGTGGTTTGCTCTTCTCCACACTTGCATGTCGTGGATTCCACTTTTTAGCCCCATTTCTTAAGTTGGCTCTGCATCTCGTGGTGCCAGAGCGCAGTCTGTTCAGCGCCTTCCAAGTCGCCCAGTTTTCTGTGTGCCCAGGGGGGAGTCTCTCATTTGATATCAGCCACTGATTGAGGTTCTGGGTTTGAGCCTGCCACTTTTGAACTCTCGCTTGCTGGGGTATTCCAGCGAGTGTCTCTGTAGATCTTAGAAAACTATTTTTAAGTCGTTGGCATGCTGGCTGATACCCAAACTGGGGGTGGGCCAGAGATGTCACTGCCTTGGTCCTTTCACTATTGGTTGCTACTTCCCGTTGGATGTCAGGTGGTGCAATACCAGCTAAACAGTGTAATTTCTCCAGTGGTGTAGGGCGCAGACACCCCGTGATAATGCGGCATGTCTTATTAAGAGCCACATCTACTGTTTTAGTGTGGTGAGATGTGTTCCACACTGGGCATGCATACTCAGCAGCAGACTAGCACAGCACAAGGGCAAATGCCTTCACTGTGTCTGGTTGTGATCCCCAGGTTGTGCCAGTCAGCTTTCATATGATATTGTTTCCAGAACCCACTTTTTGATTGATAGTGAAGCAGTGCTTCTTGTAGGTCAGGGCACGGTCCTGGGTAACTCTCAGGTATTTGGGTGCGCTGCAATGCTCCAGTGGGATTCCTTCCCAGATAATCCTCAGAGCTCGGGAAGCTTGTCTGTTCTTAAGGTGAAAAGCGCATGTCTGTGTTTTAGATGGATTAGGAATCAGCTGGTTTTCCCTGTAATAGGCAGTAAGAGCACCTACAGCTTCGGAGAGCTTCTGTTCATAGTTGAACAGAAGCTCGGGGGATGATAGGAATGTTAGTCCAACACCTGGAAGCCAAAGACTAAGAATGGCTGCCCTGAAGCAATAGCAAGTGCAGCACCTAAAGAACCCCCTTCAGCAAAGGAGACTGCTTACCGCCCCCAGAATGGAGAAGCCACTGGTCGGTCGACTGGCACTCCTCGAGACCGGAACACTTTAATAAAAAAATGTCCCTCAGGCTTGCATCTACGTCACTTCCGTCCGTCACAGATTTCCCCCAGGACGCCGCCCTTGCCACCCCACCGACGCTTTCCCATTGGCCCACCCTGATTCCGCCGCCTCCGTCCTTCCCGGCCTCTGATTGGTGGAGGCGGCGGCCAACCCCGGCACGGGATGGGGCGGGGGAGACGATGAGTGACAGCCCTGGAAGTCGCGGCGGCGGACGAGCTCCGGGTCCGGTTGCCAGGGACGACCGAAGAGGTGAGCCCCGGATGGAGGGAGCGAGGGAGCGGGGAATGGGGAAGGCCAGCCGCCCTCTTTCGGCGCTCCGCCATTTCCCGGCGGGCCTTCCTTTCTCCCTCTCCTTCCCAGTATAAACAACCCAGGAGGGAGGCCCGGGAGGCCCCGCTCTGCCTCCAAGGCAAGGGGAAAAGAGGCCACGAGTGAGCTATTCGGGCGTCCCTTTCACTTTCTCTCTCTCTCAGGGAGCCTGTTGCTTCACAAACAGGATCCTGCCTTTGGATCTTGTTTATGCGGGCCTCGGGGTGTTTTGGACTGCAGCTCCCAGAATTCCTCACAATTACCCAAGCTGTGTGAGGCTTCTGGGAGTTGAAGTCCAAAACCTGAAGGATCCTAGAGTCATAGAGTTGGAAGAGACCTCATGGGCCATCCAGTCCAACCCCCTGCCAAGAAGCAGGAATATTACATTCAAATTACCCCTGACAGATGGCCATCCAGCCTCTGTTTAAAAGCTTCCAAAGAAGGAGCCTCCACCACACTCCGGGACAGAGAGTTCCACTGCTGAACAGCTCTCACAGTCAAGAAGTTCTTCCTCATGTTCAGATGGAATCTCCTTTCTTGTAGTTTGAAGCCATTGTTCCACGTCCTAGTCTCCAGGGAAGCAGAAAACAAGCTTGCTCCCTCCTCCCTGTGGCTTCCTCTCACATATTTATACATGGCTATCATATCTCCTCTCAGCCTTCTCTTCTTCACGCTAAATATGCCCAGCTCCTTAAGCCGCTCCTCATAGGGCTTGTTCTCCAGACCCTTGATCATTTTAGTCGCCCTCCTCTGGACACATTCCAGCTTGTCAATTGTTGTTGTTGTTCATTCGTTCAGTCGTCTCCGACTCTTCGTGACCTCATGGACCAGCCCACGCCAGAGCTCCCTGTCGGCCGTCACCACCCCCAGCTCCTTCAAGGTCATCCAGTCACTTCAAGGATGCCATCCATCCATCTTGCCCTTGGCCAGCCCCTCTTCCTTTTTCCTTCCACTTTCCCCAGCATAATTGTCTTCTCTAAGCTTTGCTGTCTCCTCATGATGTGGCCAAAGTACTTCAACTTTGTTTCTAGTATCCTTCCCTCCAGTGAGCAGCGGGCTTTATTTCCTGGAGGATGGACTGGTTGGATCTTCTCGCAGTCCAAGGCACTCTCAGCACTTTCCTCCAACACCACAGTTCAAAAGCATCTCTTCCTTCGCTCAGCCTTCCCTAAGGTCCAGCTCTCACATCCGTAGGTTACTACAGGGAATACCATGGCTTTGACTAGGCGGATCTTTGTTGCCAGTGTGATGTCTCTACATCTCTCTTGAATTGTGGTGCCCAGAATTGGACACAATATTCTAGGTGTGGTCTAACCAAAGCGGAATAGAGGGGTAGCATTATTTCCCTCGATCTAGACACTATGCTCCTATTGATGCAGGCCAAAATCCCACTGGCTTTTTTTGCCGCCACACCACATTGTTGGCTCATGTTTAACTTGTTGTCCACGAGGACTCCAAGATCTTTTTCACACGTACTGCTCTCAAGCCAGGCATCGTCCCCCTCAAGCTTGGGAGCCACTGTGTTATAACCTTTTGTGGACTGTACAGTTAATCCTCCTCGTGTGTAGTTTTTACTTTGTCAGATTTGATTTTTTAATGTTTTTTGATTAAATATATTCACCCTAGGAGTTTCTACACCCTCCACTTTTATGCTCAACTTCCACTGGTCATGCTGGAGAACCTAGAAAACAAGAGCACCTCTCTAGGACTCTCTGGGCCAGCTTACATCAGAGGTTAACCATAGAGTTGTGCTGGAACACCTAGAAATTCCTAGAGAGATGTTATCTCACATTTTAAAAAGCAATCACAGCAATATTTAACATGGAATGCAATGTTTTCAAATGCCTGATATGTATTAATTTAAATTTAAATGTTATTGGAATAGTATGTGTTTTAAGGATTGAATAATTGCCTATATATAAGCCACCTTGAGCCCCTTTGGGGTAGAGCAGTGGTTCTCAACCTGTGAGTCCCCAGGTGTTTTGGCCTACAACTCCCAGAAATCCCAGCCAGTTTACCAGCTGTTAAGATTTCTGGTACTTGAAGGTCAAAACATCTTGGGACCCACAAGTTGAGAATCACTAGGGTAGAGAAAGGCAGGATATAATTAAGGTAAATAAATACATATCTTTATGTGCAGTTTTCCACCTTTGCAGGAGCCCACTGCCCCTAAACCCCAGCAAATGTGGATGGCTGACTATGGTCAACTCCTTGTGAATGGTTCCATTATAGGCCATGCCTTTTTCTTCCAGATGCAACCATAGAAGGAGAAGGAATCACAGTGGAGAACTGAGAAGCCACCATGCAATGGAGGCACCCAGGCCACAACACTATTCACACTTTCCTGTGGCATTAGAAAGGGATGGAGCAGGTGAGTGGCTGTGTTTTGCTGTGGGCTGGGCTTCCGCTGTTCTTCTGTTATTGGGTGCACTGTTGTAGTTGCACGTCGTGTAAATTAGGTGTGCCCTCCAGCTTTGGTCTCTGTTTTCGTATCAGCCAAAACATAGGGCTTGCCCTTAAACAAACAAGGAGAAAATCTTAGTTATGGGTGTGGTTGCTTTTATTTGTATAATTGGCAAGAATATGCTTGATTTGCATAAGGGAGACTATTTATCATGTAGTAGCATTGCGATCCTTAATGTAGAGGTGGGCAGAAGGTTGATAAAAACTGATTTCCAGTAGACCAGGTATCCCTAAACTAAAATGTGTACTATCAGTTAGTGTGTACTATCGTTGCAAAAATGAAAGGGAGTTGACTTGCTGATGAAGCATACTTTCCTTTGTAAGAATGTTCTCATAACAAATCTGTGCCTCTTCAGCTTACAAAAATTGAATTTGTTGCTTTTTATAGATTTATAACTTTTTTTTTACAGACAGTGCATTATAAGTATGGGGGGGGGGAGAGAATCAGGCAAACAATCGAATCCTAGAGCTGAGCTCAAGACTTGTTGTGACTAAGAGGTGATTTCCTCTATTGCAGTGAAGGACATCCTCGGAGGAAACTTGCAAAGCTAGCAGGAAAAGGAGGGAACAGGAAGGAGGAGGATATTGTTCCAATATTTTCTGATTTTTCATTTTTACTCCTAGTTAATGTTTTCATTTTCTTGTTGTCCTTAATCTTTGCTTTTCCTTGTTCCTTGGCCTTCTATCCACATCAAAAGGTTGTGATTTCCTAGTAAGGGTGAAAAGAAGTATTATGACATGCCTTTGAGCGTGCCAGTCTTGCTGAGGTCTTCTAATTGTTCTGTACTCTGTTCTTTATAATGTCTTTCCTTCCCCCAGAACCCATGTGACACTGGATGACACCTACCTCAGTGACAGAATGGCTCACTTTGATACAGAGTATCAGCGGCTGGAAGGCTCATACAATGACTCTCCCCCAGGAGAAGAAGACTTGATGGTTCATGTCGTTGAGGGCAGCAAATGTGGGTTCAGTCAAACTCCTAGAAAATTCTGCTAAGGGGTGCCTGTGCTTGGTGGAAAGCTAGCCCAATTAAGAAATTGATATTCTGCATTGAAAAATCTATCATGATCCTAAGCAAATTAAATCCTTGTAAATTTGCTGGTGTTTTTTTTTTAAACAAGTGTATTTAGGAGTGCAGTTTTTAATTCTCTTTGGGACAGTCAGTTTCTATAGAAATGTGAGCTGTTGTTCATCAAAGTTGATCCCAAAGGCCAGAAAGTGATGCATATTAACTCAAAGTAATAACTTCAGATCTGTCATGCTGATTGACTCTCTCAAAGAGTTATTTGGATGTTTTTATTTTGTCCTATACGACTTTTGTGCTGCATTATATAATACCTTTGTTTGTTTATCTGCTCTACCTTATCTCTTGTGTTATAGCTCCCTGGCATCACATTGAGAATTTGGATCTCTTTTTCTCTCGTATATCCTTACCTGGTGAAAGGAAAATCACTTGCATGCCAGCAGTGGTTCGTTGCAGCAAAAGTGGGAATCCCGTATAATGTTCCTTAGTAAAAACCTTCATCTCACCCCACCTTCCCTTCAATGCAAAGGCATGAATTATGGAACTATCACACAAAATAAGTCTTTTTTCTCAGAAATGTAATGGATGCGTCGAAAAGCAGAATTGTGTTCCATATAAATTTGTGAAGAGAGCATCTTGTTCAATATAATGAATATGTGTCCTACAGGGCACAGTCTGTTCTGAACCCAATTTTTGTAGCAATTCCAGGAGATCTCCTGAACATTCATTTTTTAAAATAATAATTTAATCTCTGGGCAAGACTTTTTGACCACTATCTCATCAAAATGCCCACAAATGTGGCATTTTAGCTTTTCCACTCCCTCTGAACTTCCTAACTCCCTCCCCAACTACCCCAAACTAGATAAAGAATACCCAAAAATACAAGTTATAGAAGGAATGAAATTAGCCCCCCCTCTATGTCTTAAAATATGGAATATGCATAGACTTTACTGATAAGATGATTATGAAAACACTGCAAGGAGGTTTATTCTATACCTTCCCAGTGGAATGTAACTTGGGTAACATCTTTATATCTAAGTGATTGCTGCTCGGTACTAATGGCATGACAAGTTGAACTGGGGGAAAAGGCTTTTTCTGTAAACTTGAGATGAAGCTGGGCTGTGTTCTACAGCCAGTAATCAAGCTGTTCTCCTTGACTGTGACTTCACGTCTATAACCTGCACCAGAAGAATGGCTTCACCTGTATGCTCATCAGTGAGATCTTTGAGTTAATGTGAGTATAAATACCACCCTGCTTCTTTGCAACTAGGGTCTGTATTATGTCTTTTACATCTTCCCATGAGCACCTTGTGAAGACAGAGCAGCGAAAGGAGTCAGTTTTTTCATGGAGGCTGATGAGCCTCTTTTGACATTCAGTTAATTCCATGACACTCAAGTTAATTTAAAAGTCAATTCTAAACTCCTGTAAATTTTTAGATATTCTAACCAAATGCAGAATGTCTGCAGTATAAAGCATTCAGATAGCCTGGATTTGCTTGTTTGAAGGTGGAAGATGGCAAAGCATCTCAGCTTTCACCCTGCTTCATAATATATATCCTGTCTTACAGGCAGTTCATTTTTGTTGTGGCCTTCACCACATTCCTTGTCAGCTGTGTTGACTATGACATCCTCTTTGCCAATAAGCTGGTGAATCACAGCCAGCATTCCAGTGATCCAGTCAAGGTGACCCTGCCAGATGCTTTCCTGCCTCCCAATGAGTGCAGTGCTAGGTAAAGTTCATTATCACTATCCCTGACTAACTTCAGTTCAGTCTTTGCCTACCTTGGAGAGGTTTAAAATCCAAGAGATCTTCTAAATGTGGGACATCCTCTGCTTGGGGACAGAAGGGGCTTGTGGGGCTTAAATTGTGATAGTAAGAGAAACTGGGGGTAGAGATGTTTTTTTTACAAAACCTGTAATAAACATAAGATGAAAGCTTTTCCATCCTTGCTGTAAGACCATCTCCCTCTTAGGATTCAGACCAATGGCTTTCTTCTCTCCATCCTGGTGATTGCGGGGGTCTTCTGGATCCATCGGCTGATCAAATTCATCTACAATATTTGCTGCTATTGGGAGATCCACTCTTTTTACATCAGTGCTCTCAAGATTCCTATGGTAAGATTTTGCAATTAGAGGAGTTATGTGTGCATGAGTATATCCATATTCCATGCAAGTTAAAAAAAATGAGACCTGGGTGAAACATCACATTTGAGGACAACAACAGAGATTTTGCAGTGAGTAATCATGGCACTTTTTGCTAAATTTATGGGACAACTGACAACTGATTTTGGATGTAGAATGCTGAACTAACAGGGCTTGCTGCATTTATCCATTGATGCAGTTCTTACATTCTTTTCAAAGCACTGAGAAAACAGCAGATAAGAACGGTTTCTTAGCAGTTTTCTTCCTCTCCCCAAATTCTGGTTTTATTTGTTAGTTTTTGTTCCTTCTTGACCTTCCACTGATATGCAGTGCTGCTGAGCTCCCCAATCTAGTGCTAATCCTACAGATGCTCACTCAGACTCTCATAGGTCCTGCTTGGTTGAGTGGCAGGGCTGGTATGCTGTGCAGCTGCCCTGTCTGGGTTTGCCAGGATCTGCTCCTAGGTTCTTGGCCAAGAGTGTTAGAAGCTCCATGTTACAAATCCCTTTGACCTCTAGAAGTAAGGAAGATTTAGCTCCACTGTATTTGAAAAGGAATTGTAAGACCAAAACAAACAAACAAAACAAAACAATTATAGTTTGCAGAACAGGAAAGCTTTGTATGTCTTTTTCTTGCTGTGCAGTATAGGTCAACAGAGTTAGCCCACCCATGCATATCTCTGTTTCATTTTATATTTTCTTGACCCTTCGTGTCATCCCCCATGTCTGAAAACTCACACAAATTTAAAAATATCTCTTGAAAGCAAAGCTTTTATTTAGACCTGATCTGGTCCTAGTTATTGTTTTGTTTTGTTTTTCATTTTCTTACAACACTCTTTTCATGTTTTAGCAACTTTTTATGTTCCTTTCAATCTTTTCTGAACTAAGTGGAAAACGGAGGAGAAGGGAGAAGAAGAGCAGAGATTCATGTGAACTCTTATAGAGAGGTGCTATATAACCCATACAAAATGTTGCATAGAGAGATAGTGTAAGGAAAACCAGAAGAAGGATTGATAACATGATAGAGTGCAGAGACTTTATTGAACATATTTTACTATTATTACTGTGACTTTAAGGATGAAATATCTTCCAGCAAACGGTGAGAGCACTTTGTATTATAGGGACCTTGTCACCTTGATAATCTCACCACCCTTTTTTCTATTAACAGTCCAATTTGCCCTATTATACATGGCAAGAGGTGCAGGCACGGATTGTGCAAATCCAGAAGGAACACCAGATCTGCATCCATAAGAAGGAGCTGACTGAGTTGGATGTCTACCATCGCATCCTACGTTTCAAGAACTACATGGTGGCCATGGTGAACAAGTCACTTCTGCCTGTGCGCTTCCACCTTCCTCTGCTGGGTGACACAGTCTTTTTTACACGTGGCCTGAAGTACAACTTTGAGCTGATCTTTTTTTGGGGGCCAGGCTCCCTCTTTGAAAATGAGTGGAGCCTTAAGGCAGAGTACAAGCGAGGCAGCAATCGCCTAGAACTGGCTGATAAATTAGGCACCCGCATCCTATGGATTGGCATTGCCAACTTTCTGCTCTGCCCACTTATCCTCATCTGGCAGATCCTCTATGCTTTCTTCAGCTACACAGAGATTCTCAAGCGAGAACCAGGCAGCCTGGGAGCTCGCTGTTGGTCCCTTTACGGCCGCTGCTACCTGCGGCATTTCAACGAGCTGGACCATGAGTTACAGTCACGGCTCAGCAAAGGCTATAAGCCAGCTTCCAAGTATATGAACTGCTTCATTTCACCCTTGCTCACCATTGTGGCCAAGAATGTGGCCTTCTTTGCTGGCTCCATCCTAGCTGTCCTCATTGCCCTCACAATTTATGATGAGGATGTGCTGGCCGTGGAACATGTCCTCACTACTGTCACCATCCTGGGCGTAGGTGTCACTGTCTGCAGGTGAGCAGGGCCGGATCAGCAGAAACCTTGCTGTGCTTTCGAGGGCGGTGCTTTCTGTTTTGTTGGTTTGTCTATTTTTACAGCCACCATAGCCCATTTCCCCAATGTCAACCATATGTAGAAGATACTGAAGCATGGTGCTTAGGGAATGAGGATTCTGTTATGGAATAGAACCGGGCTTCTTAGTTACAGAATACAGAACAATGGTGCTTGTTGTTACCAAATGTGTGTATTTTTAATTTTTTGGTTGGTACGTGGCATTGAAATTTAGGTGTGTGCAGCCAGTTCCAAAACTATAGTCCACAATTAAATTGGGGAGGAAAACTGGAAGAGAGATTCAGAAAACTGAAATATAGTGAGCCTTCCACATTCATTGAAGTTAAGGGTACAAGACCACAATGAAAGTGGGAAAACCCCTCTTAGAAATCTCTAAGTCCTTCAGCACAACCTCTGACAGAAGTTGGCTTTAAAACTGCAGTGGCAGACTTTGAAATTCCGAGAGAGACCATATTAATCAAAATCATGAAAAATCAAATTCACAAAGGTTAAACCCAACAATGTGGAGGGCTAAGTGTATAAGTTAAAGAACACAGATAAAGCAATGTTGGGAATGGTACAACTGAGTGATTGCTGGTTAAATTACTTACCTTTGAAACCTAGTTATGACAATCTGAGATTTTATAGGTTTCAAAATAAAGGTAATACAGTTGCTGTCATTATTTTCAAATAGTGTAACTTGCTGCTGGCTTCATTTCACTAAAAATATGCAGCTTGATATTGATATTAGAATCCAAAATCTAGTAATGTTGCTGGGCCTGTGATGAATTATTTAAAGATTCTCTTAGATAAACCAAATTATATTTTACATTTTTATTCTTTTTATCATACACTTGTACAATCTGAAAGTGATTTGTATGTTTCAAAGCAGCACATAAACTGGTACAAAATTGTAAAATAGATTTATCTCCACTAAAGTGAATTATTTTGGTTAAAATAATTACAAGTTCAGAACCATTAAGAGTTTCCCTCCATATAGTTGTCTGTATGCCTGTCTTTTCATAATGAGAAAACACTTAGGTTGTTAATTTGGGCACATTCAAGGAGGATATGGCTACCAGTCACATTGACTCTCTATTACCTCCAGTATTGGAAAAAGAATCCAGAAGCTTCTGTAGATTAGATGCTGATGAACATAAGTCTTGCACTAATGTCATGCTTGCAGCCTTTCCAGAGGATCTGGTTAGCTACTGCAGGTACAGAATGTTGTGTTCGATAGGCTTCCAGTGGAGACCTGCCTCTGTTTTGTAACCTAGATCATGAGGGCATGCAGCCTTTCTCAACACGCTGCTTTTTCATTTGCCTACTGTTTCCAAGGGATGCAGATCTCCTTGACATGTGATTTTGTGTATCCCCTCTCGGCTGCAGATCCTTCATCCCAGATCAGCACTTGGTATTCTGCCCAGAGCAGCTACTTCGAGTGATTTTGGCACATATCCACTACATGCCTGACCACTGGCAAGGCAATGCCCACCGTTATGAGACCCGGGATGAGTTCGCCCAGCTCTTCCAGTATAAGGCGGTGAGGTGGGGCTGGGCAGGGTGGGAAAAGAAAAATGGCATCAGTGCTGTTTTGGTACTTAGAGATCTTTACTACATCTCAATATATATTTTCTTCTTCTTTGGAAGTTTCTGTGATCACACATCACTTGGGAGAAAGGCAGCATCTGAAGTCCTGTCACAGTAGTGTGGCAGTCAGTTTCTTATTACTATCATCATCATTTATATCCCACCTTTTTCCCAATAATTGGACTCACGGCGGACAACAATGTATATTGTGGCACCTATACCCAATATATGGTTTCACTTTCTCATGTATTAACTTGAGAAGAGGGGAAGCTACACCCTCTTCTCAGTTCCTCCTTCATTTGTTCTATTGAAAATAAGAGGGTTTGCTAATATACACACAAATTCCAGAAACTTGTGCCCTGAAGGTATGGGAATCGTACTGTATTTAATAATATAAATTAAAAGTAATACAAAGAGTAAAGGTGTAAATATGGGATTTTAAAATTAAACAATGTATAACTGTAAACAAAACTATTGAAAATCATTAAAGAAGTATAAATAATCCCTAGAAAGAGATTTTGAAACATCACTGCACAGCATTAAAAGTCTAACCATAGTAATCCTAATGACACAAAAATATTTTGACCCTGTCTTCTTAGGAAAGAGTTCTAAAATCTGGAAAGAGCCAATGAGAAGGGCCTTGCCCTTGTTCTCACTAATTAAACCTGAGATTGGTCAGAGAGAAGGACCTCTCTAGAGAATCTCAGAGTTCGAATGGGCTCATACTGAGAGATACAGCCCTTCAAATAACCTGGATTCAAGCTGTATAAGACTTTAAAAGTCAAAACCAGCACTTTGAATTGTGCCAGGAAACAGACCGGAAGCTAGTGGAGCTCTTGCAAGGAGGGAATTTCTTGAACTGTGTATCTTTGTCTCTCTTACTCCAGGTGTTCATTCTTGAGGAACTGCTTAGCCCCATTGTGACCCCCTTAATCCTCATCTTCTGCCTGAGACCCAAAGCCCTGGAGATCATTGATTTCTTCCGCAACTTCACAGTGGAGGTGGTGGGGGTGGGAGATACCTGCTCTTTTGCCCAGATGGATGTGCGCCAACATGGACACCCTGCAGTAGGTCACAGCAAAACTGGGACACTTGTGGAAGAGGGGATTTTAGAACAGATGTCTGTTTGACGTAATGTGAATGTCATATTTTCCCTAAGAGGATGTAAGATAGTGGCTACGGTATGTTCAGTGACAGGACATAGACTTGAAGAAATCAGTAACAATTGGTTTATCTGAGGTATTGCATAGATAATTTCCTTCACATTTTACTTCGGTTTTGTGTAGAGAGTGGGATACCATTTTCTCAAGTATAGCATTGAACAGTTGCCTGGTTTGTTTGTTTGTTTGTTTTAGTTAAAAGTCTTTCCAGGGTGAAATGTTGTTGGAAAATTCATTTTGGCATCATGGATTCTCTGATTTGCAATCTTCACTTCTTATATTAAATAACATCTTGGTATAATGAAAAGCAGAGGCTGAAATTAGATGAGAAACCATGGTATTATTTGTATTAGTATAGACCAGAGTCCTTAGGCAGTCATGACATAAAAGTCAGAGACATGAAATTTTCTCTTTTCATCCCCTGGGATTTAGCCATTATACAGGTTTTAGAGCCCAATCGCTGGTTTTGATAGATTGAATAAATCTGATTAGGTCCTAGCTTTAAGTAAATATTTTAATTAAATTCTGTTCTCACCTCACCTTCAGTCTCTGACTGGTGCTTTGTGGATGCCTAGTGAGAATCTGTTAGTCTATATTGTTGACAGTAACACAGAGAACTGGTGTGGATCTTAGTGTGTTTGTTGCCCTTTCCCTTTTTAGATTTTTTCATATAGTTCCATAGATACATATGGTTGGGTGAATTTCATGGAGGGAGCAAGTTGATGGAAGTTGTGATACATCTTTTGTGTTTTTCAGTGGATGTCAGCTGGGAAGACGGAGGCTTCCATTTACCAGCAGGCTGAAGATGGCAAGACAGAGCTGTCTCTCATGCACTTTGCCATTACCAACCCACACTGGCAGCCCCCTCGGGAGAGCACAGCCTTCATTGGCTTGCTTAAGGAACGTGTGCATCGCGACAGCAGCCTGGCATTGGCCCAGCAGGCCGTCCTCCCTGACAACACCCTCTTCACTTCCATCCAGTCCTTGCAGTCAGAATCTGAGGTACTTCCCCAGAAGGCGAAGGGAGTTGGCAAATGGCAAAATAGACTTGATCCTAGCCTGTTGTGGGGGAGAGAAGCCAGGTGCTGAGCTAGTTTTGTGGTGTGCCTATTTCCTCCTGTGTTACGCCATGAGAAAGGAGAGTATTGGTGCCTCGGCACAGGCTGCCAAGTAGAGTCATTTGAGTACCAAGGGAATAATAATAATAATTTTTAAAAACCCAACTTTATTTATATCCCACCACCATCTCCCAACTGCCAACCTAGCAGTTCAAAAACATGCAAATGTGAGTAGATCAATAGGTACTGCTCCAGTATGGTGCTCCATGTAGTCATGCTGGCCACATGACCTTGGAGTAGTCGGACACAACTAGACTTAATGTCAAGGGGAAACCTTTACCTTTTTACCATTTCCCAAAAGGGAGTTGGGCTGTTTGCAAGGCACTCCAAGGTTTGGCTTAACATAAACAGTACATCAGTATAAAACAAGATAATGAAGAGCTTGGACAGGCTTTTATTATTGTTATTATTTTGCTGCCACAAACTAGTTACTATTACCTTGTCTCTTCTTGTCAAAGCTCCATTACATTCATTTAAAACAGGTGTAGAGGACTGTTGCTGACTGCCATCTTTCTTGAATGTTTGTCATGCTTACCGGTTGGGATTAAAGGGCAGTTGGGTGCCGTCAATATTCAAGGAGTTCCAAGCTCCCCTCCTATCACCTATGCTTAAACTATAAACCTTGCATCCTCAGATTATCTAGATTTTCCATTTATCTTTTCTTTCCGGAGACAGATACATTCTTTCTGCCATTTGGAAAGCATTCAAACAGCTTTAGGCTGAAAATAGATAAAACTTGCTTTGGGGATGTGAAGGGTGTTTGAAGTATTAATTACGGGGTAAACTGTAGTGTATTTGCTTTCTGGTGGAACAGTATTGGAACCTGTGATGAACGGGACTTGCATATTCCTCCCTGAGTCATGTGCCCTTCCCTCTTCTCTCCCTGCAGCCTCACAGCCTGATTGCCAATGTGATTGCAGGCTCCTCAGCCCTGGGCTACCAGGCAGTCCGTGATGCCCAGACCTCGCGGCATCTCTCTGCTGTATCTGAGGTGGCCTCTGCCCTGCGGTCTTTCTCCCCTCTCCAGTCTACTCACACAGCCCATGGGAGTTCCCATGCTGAAGGTTCCCAGCTTCGGGGCCCTGGCACAATGATGGGCTCTGGGTAAGAGGTTGCTTGATGTACAAAACCCAAGAAAGAGGCCAAGGATTAAAGGTCTTGTACTTTAACCAGACTGCTTTGGGCTCGATATCTTTGAGGATCATGCTGCATTTGTAATGCTTTTTCCAAAAAAGGCATACATGTGTGTTTGGGGGAAGCAGTCTATCAGTTACTTTTTAAAAACAACAATGAGACATTTAAAAGCAACAGTAAGGCATTTATTACCTGAATTCCTCCTGCAGTCTGATGAGTGTATACATTCCTTGCTACAGTTCTGAAGTTGTGTTATCGAAGGCTTTCATGGCCGGAATCACTGGGTTGCTGTGAGTTTTCTGGGCTGTATGGTCATGTTCCAGAAACATTCTCTCCTGACGTTTCACCCACATATATAGCAGGTATCCTTAGAGGTTATGAGGTCTGTTGGAAACAAAACAAGTGAGGCTTATATATTTGTGCAATGTCCAGGATGGGAGAAAGAACTCTTGTTTGTTTGAGGCAAGTGTGAATGTTTCAATTGGCCACCTTGATTAGCAATGGCCTTGCAGCTTCAAATTCTGGCTGCTTCTTGCCTGGGGGAGTACATTGTTGGAAAGTGTTAACTGGCCCTGATTGTTTCCTGTCTGGAATTCCTGGGTTATTTTTAATGTTGATTTTTATTCACTTGCCTAGTTTCCAACAGACCTCACAACCTCTGAGGATGCCTGCCATAAATGTGGGTGAAACATCAGGAGAAAATGCTTCCGGGACATGGCCAGACAGCCATGTTCCAGAAGCCCGGAAAACTCACAGCAACCCAGTTCTGAGGCTATCTGGTTTTGCAGAACTTCACAAAAAGCTGATGTGCATTCTGGAGTCCCTTCCTCCAGCTCATCTGAGAGATGTGGCTAGTGTTGTTCTTCCTACTTTACAAAAAGCTTTTGTATTCAGCATGTGGGGGTGGGGCTGAGAAGTTGGTCTTTCTGAATACCCTGCAGTCTATAATCTTTTCTCCATTCTGGTTGCAGGGCAGATGCCAGGACTGCTAGCTCTGGAAGTAGTGCTTGGGAGGGTCAGCTCCAGAGCCTGATCCTTTCAGAATACGCCTCTACGGAGATGAGTCTGCATGCTCTCTACATGCATGAGGTGAGTCGAGCCGAGAGAATCATGCTGACCTTGATAGTGAGCTATGGAGCTATGGAGCTATGGATTAGATACACCAAGAAATGAGAGCCTAAATGAACCTAGCATAGGAAGGACAGATCTGCAACTCTGATGAGAAACCAAACTGAACTTAGAACAAAGATCTGAATAGATGCTCACACACTGAGAAAGATGGAAGCAAAAGTCTAGCTACTGGATCATGGTAATACATTGCACGCTGAAGTTGAGGCTCGGACATGGAGCAATGGGCTCAAATTACAGGAAAGAAATTCCAACTGACCATAAGGAAGACTGTAAGAGCTGTTCAGCAGTGGAACTCTCTGCCTAGGAGTGTGGTGGAGGCTCCTTTGGAGACTTTTAAACAGAGGCTGGATGGCCATCTGTCAGGGCTACTTTGTGCTTTTCCTGCATGGCAGGGGATTGAAACTAGATGTCCCATGTGGTCTCTTTCAACTCTATGATTATATGACATGAATTTACATTTGCACTATCAAGATTTAACTAAACTTTGCATGGCTGCAGGTGGAAATTACAGATGCCTGTATAAGGCACAGGGGAAGAGGAAGCAGGTGCAATTTAAATTATCTCCAAAGCTAAACTCTGGTAACACATAGGGTGGCACATAGAGTGAGTTAGTTGAGGTTGGAACTGAAGTATCTCATTAACTTACCCTGTCATTCACACAGTTGCACAAACAGCATGCCCAGTTGGACCTTGAGCGGCACCTATGGCACCGGCAGGAGAGTGATGAAAGTGGAGAGAGTGCCCAAGATGAGCCGGAAGCTCAGCGAAGCACCCCTGGCAGTGCGATTCCTCGTTCAGCCAGCTATCCTTTGGCTTCGCCTCGCCAAGCTGGGGATGAAACTGCTGCCCTGCAAGCAGGGTTCCAGCGCCAGTATGGTGGAGTCTCAGGTGTGTATAAGAGTCATGGCTCTTCTCTGTTCCTGGCCAGGAAATGCCTTGCTCCATGCCAAATATTGTCTTGGGTATGGGTTAGGGTGCTAAAATGTTGCATTACCATTTGATGGATTTTTTTTTAAAGTGCATTGCATATAGAGGCAGATCCTCCCCAGAGGCTGCCCCAAGGTTCCTTGCTATCATCTGTGTTTCACACATTGATGCCCAGCAGAAGTAAAAGTAAATGGGCATTGTTACATATTGCATATCAGTTTAAGTCTTGAAGTGTTTCCCAAACTACCCATATTTGCCTTTGCTGCTATTATAGGCACTGTTTACTTTGGGTTTTGTAATGCATTTTATTTTATTAGAAAGTCACAAATGTTTCTTTAAGCAAGGACCAAGTCCAAATATGGGCCAAAGATGACATCTATCCTATTTCATTACCTTACAGGAATAAATGTGTGTGCAGGTAGGAAGTTCAAAAGTAAAACTGTATCTGCAAGAATTTTTATTTCTTTTTTTCAAATAGTTTTTATTAACATGTTAACAAGTAAAATAACTGGTTTTTTTTTCCTAAAATCTATAAAAGACATACAAGTCAGAGGTGAAGTGAGAAGGGATATACAATATTTTGGGGCATAAAAATAATAAGGAAAGTAAGAAAAGAAAAAAGTGGGGGGAACACACATCGAATCTGGGGTAGTTGTTGACTTCTCATCTTTTCCATTTGGAATTATAGCCTATTACTTCTTTCTTTTATTTGTAATCCACTCCTCTGGAATAATTTACAATTTATATAAGCACCTTTGTTTTCTCTTGATTCAAATACTCAGTTTTTTCCATTGGGTTTCCCTGGTAATTTTTTAAGTGTTGAGTTAAAGTGTCCATACTCATAATATCTGCAATTTTTATTACCCATTCTTCAATTGTCAGGATTTTGTTCTTTCTTTCTTTCTTTCTTTCTTTCTTTCTTTCTTTCTTTCTTTCTTTCTTTCTTTCTTTGTTTTGCATATTCTATTCTTGCTGCTGTGATAAAATATGTAAACAATTTATCTTGACTCTTTTCTAGGATCATATCTGTCATCCCTAATAGAAAGTAGATTTTTAAAAAATTCAAATGAAACCAGAATACTTTCTATTAGAAATTTTATTTCTAATGACACTGCTATTATTTATTACTGATAGCTTTGCACTACTGTATCTCTGTTGGGTAGTGACCGAGCAGATTGGAGACCTCAAATAGACTTTCAGGAAGATGTTTTCATTTAACAGTATCTGGCTTCTATTGGGACCACCTACTCCTTTTTATCTTTATCCTTACATAGATCCTGGTATAGTGAACAGAGCCCCATCACATTTTGCTCGGCTGCCCCTTGGAGGCTGGGCTGAGGATGGCCAAACTGCTCGGCACCCAGAGCCTGTCCCAGAGGAGCCTTCAGAAGATGACTTGCCACCTCAGATACACAAGGTATAGTCTGGTTCACACTGAAGCATCGGCAATAGATTTGCTGTGTGAATCATGGAATGGGAGAGATTCTTTAGCCCTTCACTGGCTGATGTGCACTACTATGTATTACCAAAATTTTCCTGCCCAAGAATTGGTCCATAAATTAGTTGATTCTGTGTTTGAAAAGGCATGCTTCAGTTTATTCAGTTTGACACTTAACTACCTGTTCAAAAAAAGATTAGACATATCAAACATATTATAATCATGTTTGACTGAAGTGTACAAGGAAGAAGAAATAAGGAAGACAGACAGAGAAATCTAGAAGGGATTTTTATTTGTTTCTAAAGCTTTAGTAGCAAAACCATGTTTTTTAAAGGCTTCAGCTTAAAAGATACATCTTCACAAACAATATATGCATTTCTTGCTATTGCGTGACAAGATTCATGAGCATACATTTTCCTCTATAGATCTGAAAAGCAGAGGAAGCTTATTTTACTCTGCATCTGTTCACATGAACTTCAGCTGTTCTTCCTTACCTTCACAAAATATAAAACATTGCTTAAAAATAATGAGACTTTCAAAATGTAGAATTTTCTTGTCACCCAATTTAGAGTGGAGTGTTGTGCAGCTTTACTCTTTTTGGACGCATCAGTCTTTTCTCCACATGGATAATGTTCCCTATCTCACACAGGTGTAGCTGTGAAGGCTGAAGATCCAGTGAAGGTTCCAAATTCTGGGCTTGCCTCAGCCAATGGGACCCTGAATCCCCCTACCCTGCAAGGTATGGGTTGGCTCAGGTGTCCATGTGCTGGGCATCAGGATCAGAGGGAAGAAGGTGTGAGAGGTTAGCAGTGCCTTTGTGGAAGGCGGAACTCTGTCCAGACATGCATCATGCCCAGTGGCATCCTAGCTGTGCATAAGCTGGATGTGTGTGTGATTACATATATTTGTCCGTGTCTGCATAAGTGTCGTCCATATTGGAGAATCATCTGAGATCCACACAGAATGCCACGGAGCACGCAGGAGAGCTGGGAGGTTGGTGGGCACTCTCCCTGCCTGACCTTTCCCAGAATGGGAGGAGGACCTGCTCTCTGGACCCTGTTGAGAGGCAGGAAAAGCGATCCCACTCTCCAGACTTGCTACAGGAATAAAGATGCAATCAAGAGATAGACCTGGACTCAGGAAAAGAAGGGCTGTGAGAGATTATTTTTGTAAGAAGAAGGGGGCACAGGCTTCCTCCAGTGACAGAGCCTGACTCAAATGATGCTTTCCACATCATAACTTCCATTCCACTTCCCCATTCACTCATGAACTTCAAAGCCAAGTCAGAAGGAGTTGTCCCTGCAGTGCCAACATCACTATTATGGCAGAATCCGTCTCCTTGTGGGCACAACCACATTGCATAGGGATACTTGTCTTTCCTCTCCTTCTTGCAATTTAAAGCACAGTTTACCCAGACCCTAACCAGAAGTTTACTTGAGCCAATATCTGAAGTGACATAATTTGTTGTTCCACTTACCAATTAATGCCATTGGCTGAAAGCCTCCATCCCTGGGGAGATGGCTTTGTCTGAGGAAGCCCTTTGCTCACATCTTGTTCATCCTGCTAGACTTAATACTGAAAAGGAGACTGTGCGCCACATTGTGTGCATGTGTGTGCTTGAGGGATGGATAGAGGAGGGCAGTATTTATCTCTCCAACATCATGCTATTTACACAATTCTCAGATCCTTGAGCCCTGCTTGGGCTCTTTTACCAACTGGTGCTGTTCACTTGTAATATCTGCATTTTATACAGGTGCCTTGATGGTAAGTCTCCAGCTGTCATAGAACTTCCAGTAAGAAATGGGTTGCTACATCTCAAAATAAAGTAAAATAAATATGACAGGATCTTATATATGGGGAGGGCCCAGCTTGGGTTCTTACAGAAAGAGTTGGACCTCCTATCCTGTTTGACAAGGCGCTCTTGAGCCTTGGCTATAGAAGCCTTGTTGACCCTAGTAGTTCCCCACAATAAAGATCCCCATTCTCTCAGCTCCTGTACCTGCTCCACTTGGCTTTTCCAATTGCTTTCTGGCCCCAGGACAAAGTAGGGACTCTTGTGGCTTGCACAGTTTATACCACAAATGATCCTTTCTGGTCAGCTGATAAAAAGCACCACAAGAATCTAGCTAATCATTGCATGGATTCATGTTAGCCCTCTCTAAGAATCATAGGTCTCCCAAATGCCTCAGACAAACTATAGTGTAACCTAAATTGACTCTGGGGCTCAAATAGGACACTTCTATCGCTGTTTTACAATAACTACTGTAGCCCCCAATAGCCACTTGCCAAAGCCACTAGTTTATTTGTGAAATGGAGGGTTGATGTCAAATATAAAACATGCACTGGTACTTTGTATGGGTTCAAACTACAGTTGCATGCATTCCCATTATTATAGGCTGCCTTTAAAATTGTTTAAGGAGTCCAGATCCTGGAACTATTTCTCCCTGCTTTAGGAATGAGATTATATGCCCTCAACAGCCAAAGGATTGTTTTTAGCTGTTGGTTTACCACTTCTTGTTGGGGATTCTGCTGTAAGGAACAGTTTCATCTCCTCTCATACTAGTTTAGTAAAGGGAGCATCACTATTCTTTGGGGCTAGGTATCAAAAGGGAAGTCAGCAACTGCTTCAAAGCACTTTCTGTCAAAATATAGAAGAGGCCTCCCATCTATAGACACTAGACTACCTCTTATGTCTGCAGGTATAAGATGACCATCATCCCCAGTTAGCATGGCAGCTTCTGGCTGAGGATGATAAACATTTTAATCTATGACATCTGGAGGGAAGGCAGGTTTAGAAGTATGGATAGGGATGTGTCCTCATACTCTTCATATTTTAAAGATTGCAATGAGTGGCCCAGTATTGATTTGCTGTTTTACAATACCCAATAGACTATGGAAAGCAAAACTGATTCATAATTTTCAGCTTTGAACCGTGCCAGCCGGGCATCCGCTCCAAAGCATCTCTGCTTCCTCCTCAGTGAAATATTGGCAGTCTGGCTATGGATAAAGGGAGTATTTTTAGCCAAACCACTGGGATGGGAGGGAGTGCTTGCAGCCACATATTATGCTTGACTTTGCCCCATCTCCATGTGCATGGTACAGCCACCTGCTGCCTCTTGTTTTATTTATAGCACATGAGAGGCTAGGCTGCGAGTGTGTGGAGCACTACAAGTGGTTTGTAAAGCAGAGCTTATGCCTGGCATTCTGTGCAGTGCTGTCTTTCTACTGAATAAAGAGAAGTGTTTAATTCTTTGATGGCTTTAGTGTCTTGTGTGTCCTTTTATGTGTTTCTATAGAGTGTCCTTCCTACCACACACACACTTAATCAAGCAATATTTCCAATGACAGAGGCATTATCGCAATGCTGGTTGCATTCCTGGACTAGATAGAGTCTCTACGTTAAAACACTGGAGTTAATATCCTTACATTGTCTACTAAAACATAAGGAAAGAAAATATTCTAGTTTAATTTAAATTAGAAAAGTTGATGCTTGACTCAGAACCAAGAGTGCTTTTGAGCTTACAGGCAGTTTTGAGATCAGGAAGAAAACATTCACTTTGAGCTGTTTTCTTTCTTTCAGTACATGGCCAATTTGGGATATGCAGAATTTTAGAAATTGTGGTCTTGAAGATGTGGGTTGAAGACTGCAACTCCTATCAGCCCCAACTACCATAACTAATGTTGAGGGCTGATACGATCCAACTACATCTGTAGGATCACAAGTTGCCTACCCCAGTGAACAGCGTATGTTACCTTAGTGTTGATATCATTTCTTCCTGCTCCAGCCACCATCTATGTATGTGTCCTGAACAGGGTCACACAACCACAAGCTACATTTGAAAAATAATTCTATGTGTTAAAGTGACTTGCTGGAGTGGATCAAAATGGTACCATACCATGTGTGACCTCAGGAGAATGATGAAATGTGTCCGCTTTAATCAGTGAAGTGTGCTGAGTAGGATCATATTCAGTTATATAAGTCCAGTTATATAACATTACAGTTTTTACCTGTGGTGGGGATTGGAGTCATGTGGCCCACCAGATGTTCTTGGACTGCAACAAGCACCAGCCCAATTAACTTTAATAATTGGGGGGGGGGGGGGACGCTGGAAGCTACAATCTCTGGAAACCTAGCCCTGATTTATGGGAATATTGTACTATTTTTGTTCCGAAACAAAAATATCCCAAAGATAGGGTGGCAAGTACTTTGAAAAACAGTTATTAGAACATTTCTAGGAGAACTGGACTAGGATTCTAGAATAAGACTTGAATCTTAGCTTAGCCATGGAAACTGATTAAATTACCTTGCGCAAATCCCACAGTGTTTTAGCATGTTCATTTTCCACTACCTTTGCAGGTTTATTATCCCACCAATTCTTTACTACTGGTAGGTGGTACTTGTGACATAAGTTCCAGTGAATTATTTGGGCCACAGAGTTGTGTCTTTGTTTGTAATGTCTGTGCAATTTTCTTGCAACAACTGAGGATATCGTCCATGGTTTCATCAGCTTCCTTGCACAGTCTGCATTTTGGGTCATCAGCTTATTTTTCAATCCTGGCCTTAATTGCATTTATTCTCCATTGCCTTTCGGAGCAAAAGGCAATGGAGATACCTAAGTAGATGCACCTGGACTACACGGCTTGTGAACTGTTACACACGGATCCAGAGGAAAGTGCGTGTGTTGCTGATGAAACCAGTGGCACCTAGGGAAAGTAGGTGTGTACATGTGTATGTTTAATTTTCATTTTGTGTATGTCTAATTTTCATTTGTCTGTATGGTTGTTCCTTTTTAGCAATTGAATGTTTTGCCTTATATGTTGGAAACTGCCCTGAGTCCCCTTAGGGGGTTAGGGTGGTATATTATTATTATTATTATTATTATTATTATTATTATTATTTGAAACACAACAAGATGAGTCCTCAGCACTCTGCTGGCTGTTGAATTGGATGACACGTCGGACTCTTCCCAAGTGTCTAGGACTGTGTGATGTATCAGCGAATAATGTGTGCAGATCCCAGTAAGGTGGCCTTCTGCAGCTGGCAGATGGTAATCTTGTCAGCGCCGATTGTGTTTAAGTGCAGGCCAAGGTCTTCAGGCACTGCACTTAGTGTGCCGATCACCACTGGATTATTATTATATTATACTATATTATATTATCTATATAAATAATGTTTGTTTGTGGGATTAGCATAACCCAAAAACCACTGGACAAATTGACACCAAATTTGGACACAATACACCTATCAGGCCAATGAGTGACCTTCACTCATAAAAACACTGAAAAACACAGCAGAAGAGACTTTAAAAGCCAGAAAAAAATCACATTACAATGCATTCGCAAAGCCACATATATAAACGCAAACACACACATACACACACAAAACACATATACATAGACTGGGCCACAGCAACGAGTGGCAGGGGACAGCTAGTATATATATATATATATATATATATATATATATATATATGTATGTATGTATGTATGTATGTATGTATTGTATTATAGATTATTATATTATAGATGATGGTGATGGTGATGATGATGATTATTATTATTATAAAGTCAGGGTAGAAGGATCCGTAATAGGGTGCGTTTAGGGTCGCCATTCTAAAGTGGAAAGCACACCCAACAAATATGTTCTGAAACTAGTGGCAGCTAGGACCCAGGAGGAGACTGGGAGGACTGTATCTGGCGGCGCTAGGGCCTGGAGGGAGCCAGTTTGGCCTTCCCTCCCTCGACGCTGCAGAGTCCTTCTTGGGGCGCGCAGGACTAGCAGTGGTCAGCGCGGGGCTGGAGGAGAACGGAGCAGGCAAGTGGACGTTGGCGGTGGCCAGTCGCCCGGGAGGGCAGGGCAGGGCAGGCAGGGGAGGGAAAGGGGCCTTGTAAGTGGGGCAGAGGGGCATCGGGGGGGATATTTTGCTGTGCCCTGGCAGGGCAAAGGAGCAGAGCAGAGGTGTGTATGTGTGTTGTCCCTGCCCACCCCTCATATGCCGCGTCAACAACACACCCACGCTCCCCTTCTTCCCCAGGAAAAACAGGGTGCATCTACACTGTAGGATGAATGCAGTGTCATACTACCTTAACTGCTGTGGCTCAGTGCTAAGGAATCCTGGGATTTGGAGTCTCTTTGGCAGAGAGACCTTGCCGAATTACAGATTCCATAGCACTGAGCCATAGCAGGTCAAGAGGTGCCAGGCTGCTTTCATTGCACCCTGTGGATCAAGCATGCGCAAACTTCGGAACTTTCCTCCAGGTGTTTAGGACTTCAACTCCCACAATTCCTAAGGCTGTAAGGAATTGTGGGAGTTGAAGTCCCAAACACCTGGAGGAAAGGCCGAAGTTTGCTCATGCCTGATCAATCTACTTCATCACATTAGAGAAAAAATCCACTTTAGATCCTGTTTCTACCTCCTGCAGATTTTTTTGGTTTGTAGTTTAGTGAGGCTGTTAAAGGCTTCTCCCTAAACTACAAACTCCAGAGTTCTGCAGGAGGCAGAAACTGAATTTAAAGTGTGTTCATTCTCTAGTGTGATGAGGCCCTATATGAAGTTTCCCAATATCTACGCATGGTGTAGATGCCCATTCCTTTTGTTGACTTTTAGCTGGCCACATGGAGAATCCTTGGCAGTTCATGTGGCCCAGTGGGTGCCTCAGAAGGTTTCTCTGCACTCTTATGGATTCGGAGCATGCTTATAATAACCGGATGATGCATCACTATTTTCATATCATGCGTCAGGGTACCAACGAGATGCAGAGCCAACCTTAAGAAATGGGGCCACAAAGTGGAGCCCACGACATGCGAGTGTTGGAGAAGAGCAAACCACAGACCACCTATTACAATGCAGCAAGAGCCCTGCCCCATGCACAATGAAGGACTTCCTTATAGCAACACCAGAGGCACTCCAAGTGGTCAGCTACTGGTCAAAGGACATTTAATATAATATAATTGCCAAGTTTTTAAACTTTGTTTTTTAAAAAAATACATTACAACTGTATCCTTGGTTCACTCCTGATACGATAAATAAATAAATCATGTGCCAGGAATCACAAAGCTAAAACTATGCACAAGCGTGAAGGCAGGCATCAAAAATAACAGCACGATGCCATAACATGATGAACCCCCCCCCCAAAAAAAACCCCCAAAACAAAACAAAACATTTAATTTAGGGAAAAGTAGGCAACATTGTGAACACTTGATATTTTGGGCTACAGTTCTCATAATTCCTGATTACTGGGCATATTGGTTGGAGTTTGCAGGAAACTAGAGGTGCATGTAATTTGACCTCCACTTTTACTGCTATGACCCAATGCTATGGAGTCATGGTAGCTCTAGGGCCCTTCCACACAGCCATATAACCCAGAATATCAAGGCAGAAAATCCCACAATATCTGCTTTGAACTGGGTTACCTGAGTCCACACTGCTATATATTCCAGTTCAAAGCAGATTATATAGGATTTTATTCAGCTGTGTGGAAGGGGCCTTAATCTTAGAAGATCCTTAGCTTTCTTTCTCAAAGAGTGCTGGTGCATCACCAAATTACCAGGATCCCATAGCATGGAGCCATGGGAGTTAAAAGTGGTGTCAAACTGCATTAATTTGACACTGTAGTCAGGGGCGAGAACTATTATGCATTCCTCCAGATGTTGTTGAAGTACAAGTCCCAGCATTCCTGACCAGTAGCTATGTTGGGAGATGCACTTTAAGGGTTCTGCAGTGTTAGTGTTGTTTTCAAGGGCACACAGTTGCCTATTAATGCTTGTTGAAGCAAGATAATAGTTGCACAGCAGATAAGACATCATTCTATGGGAGATCTGTTGCATTTTATTGATATTTAACGAGTGGGGTTTTTGGTATTATGCTGTTGTTACTGTTGTTATTGTGGTATTGTTTAGACCAGGCATGGGCAAACTTTGGCCCATAATTCCTAAATCCCATAATTCCTAACAACCGGTAGGCTGTTAGGAATTGTGGGAGTTGAAGTTCAAAACACAAAGTTTGCCCATGCTTGGTTTAGACAATTACTGTATTTTTTGTGTTGCCCCTTGAGTGCTTTTGTGAGCTGCTCCAAGTACTTTCAGGGAGATGGTGACACAAATAAAGTTTTATTATTTTTATTATTATCTTTTGTTATCATACCACCAAGAAGATGTTAAAACAGAGTTGAGTAACAAAGCAGTCATTGCTGTTGCAACTCACACTGAGGCTGTAACTCCATTACACTAAATGAGGTCCCAGGATAGATCACCTGCCACTCTCTATCGAGCCCTCCTGAATTCTCCCTTCACACACACTTTCTACTGATCACTAGTAAACTACAGTATTAAGCCCCATATAATTTTGAAAATGTGCTGACTACACAGTCATAGAGAAGTCTTGTCCGGGCGGGGATAGAGTGGAGAGAGGTCCGCTCCCTAGACTCTCTTTCGTGACCTCATGGACCAGCCCACGCCAGAGCTCCCTGTCGGCCGTCACCACCCCCAGCTCCTTCAAGGACAGTCCAGTCACTTCAAGGATGCCATCCATCCATCTTGCCCTTGGTCGGCCCCTCTTCCTTTTGCCTTCCACTTTCCCCAGCATAATTGTCTTCTCTAGGCTTTCCTGTCTCCTCATGATGTGGCCAAAGTACTTCGACTTTGTCTCTAGTATCTTTCCCTCCAGTGAGCAGTCGGGCTTTATTTCCTGGAGGATGGACTGGTTGGATCTTCTCGCAGTCCAAGGCACTCTCAGAACTTTCCTCCAACACCACAGCTCAAAAGCATCGATCTTCCTTCGCTCAGCCTTCCCTAAGGTCCAGCTCTCACATCCGTAGGTTACTACAGGGAATACCATGGCTTTGACTAGGCGGATCTTTGTTGCCAGTCTGATGTCTCTACTCTTTACTATTTTATCGAGATTGGACATTGCTCTCCTCCCAAGAGTAAGCGTCTTCTGATTTCCTGGCTACAGTCTGCATCTGCAGTAATCTTTGCACCTAGAAATACAAAGTCTGTCACGGCCTCCAGAGGTTCTCCCTCTATTTTCCAGTTGTCAATCATTCTTGTTGCCGATAATTTGGTTTTTTTGACGTTTAGCTGCAACCCAGCTTTTGCTTTCTCGTTAGAGTCGCGCTGGAATGAAATAAGCCCAAGTCCTCACAAACCATAGAACACACTCCGATCTGACGCTGTTCTCGTACACATCGAGGTAACAGTAGTCTTCCTCATGCAATACTGTAAGATATGTAGAGATTTGACACATATTGATATTCCCAGTTTTCGCACCAACCGTAGGCATCATACCGCCTGATCACTCGGATATGGTTGAACCACGCGCAACTACAATTTAAAAGAGTTAGATAAATAATGACAGCCTTTAGCTTGAGGCCCTTTCCACTTCTGTTAACCCTGACACTTCCATTCATTATGACTGTTCTACTGTCCTGTAACGATATTCCTCAGAAACAAGTCAGCTTGGATGCCATGCCCCGAAAGAACCTGCCACAATTATTATATCCCCACAGTCCCCAGAGCTAAGTGGCTACAACATAAAAGGTAAAAATTTCTCCTCACATGAAGTCTCGTTCTTCCGACTCTGAGGGGTGGTGCTTTTCTCCATTTCTAAGCCAAAGAGCTGGCAATATCCGTAGACACCTCCAAGGTCATGTGGCCAGCATGACTGCATGGAGCGCTGTTACCTTCCTGTAGAAGTGGTATCTATTGATCTACTCACAATTGCATTTTTTCGAACTGCTATGCTGGCAGAAACTGGGACTAACAGCGGACGCTCACCCCCTCCCCGGATTCGGACCGCCAACCTTTCATCAGCAAGTTCAGCAGCTCAGCGGTTTAATCTGCTGACTAATTTTTAAACTTGAGATAACACTTCTCTAGGAATCTCTAGGTCTTCCATGGTCTCTATGTTTTCCCATTTCTAGAAAGGACAATTAATTAAACATGCAAATCATCAAATCTTCTAAGGCAGTGTTTCTCAACCTGGGGGTCGGGACCCCTGAGGGGGTCGCAAAGGGTCAGAGGGGTCGCCAAAGACCATCAGAAAACACAGCATTTTCTGATGGTCATGGGGATTCCATGTGGGAAGTTTGAGCCAATTCTATCGTTGGTGGAGTTCAGAATGTTCATTGATTGTAATGAACTATAAATCCCAGCAACTACAACTCCCAAAAGTCAAGGTCTATTTTCCGCAGGCTCCACCAGTGTTCATATTTGCGCATATTGAGTATTTGTGCCAAGTTTGGTCCAGATCCACCATTGCATGAGTCCACAGTACTCTCTGGATATAGGTGAACTACAACTCCCAAACTCAAGGTCAATACCCACCAAACCTTTCCAGTGTTTTCCGTTGGCCATGGGAGTTGTGTGTGGCAAATTAGGTTCAAATCCATTGCTGATGGAGTTCAGAATGCACTTTGATTATAGGTGAACTATAAATCCCAGCAACTACAACTCCCAAATTACAAAATCAATCCTCCCCCAACCCCACTAGCATTTACATGTGGCTGCATTGGGTATTTGTGCCCAGTTTGGTCCAGTGAATGAAAATATATCTTGCATATCTGATATTTACATTATGATTTATAACAGTAGTAAAATGACTGTTATGAAGTAGTAACGAAAACAACGTTATGGTTGGGGGTCACCACAACATGAGGGACTGTATTAAGGGGTCACGGCATTAGGAAGATTGAGAACCACTGTTCTAAGGTCAAATCTGCAAACATGGAAGAACCACTGTATTTTGTATGGTCCAATAGCTGCCATCCTATGGTTAGTTACAAAATACAAATCAAACTTCAAATGCAAAAATATAAAAATGAAAACCATGCAAATTCTAAAACAGCTATAGATATATAACACGAATGTAATGAGATTTCCTGCCAGTTTAGAGCCTGTAGAATTGCTGGTCCTCTTGGATTCACTTCTCTAGAGTCATATTATAAGTTTTTTTTCCTGTCAGGAGCGACTTCAGAAACTGCAAGTCGCTTCTGGTGTGAGAAAATTGGCTGTCTGCAAGGATGTTGTTCAGGGGATGCCTGGCTGTTTTACCATCCTATGGGAGGTTTCTCTCATGTCCCCACATGAGAAGCTGGAGCTGACAGACGGGAGCTCATCCCACTCCTTGGATTTGAACCGCCGACCTTTTGGTGACTTGACAAACTGCAAGTTGCTTCTGGTGTGAGAGAATTGGCTGTCTGCAAGGAAAGCAATCCTGTGTGTCAGCAGTCCTGCTGGCACAAGGGTTTAACTCATTGCGCCACTGGGGGCTTCTACTATCTTAAGTGCATTTAGATTAAAACCCTTGAAAGACTCTTTCAAATCTAAAAATATCAAATGAGTCTCTTACTGATTTTAGACTGTGATCTAAAGCTGAAGATCTCAATCTTTCTAAAGTAGTCAAAGCACGTATAACCTTTTGCAATGGCTGCCTGTTTGTGAATCACCCTTCATAGTAATAAATAAAAGGGATTTTTTTCCCAGTGGTCACTAGACAATTTAAATAGATGAAGCATTCTTGTCCAACCTGAAATATGAGAAATAGCAAGGTCATGGACATGAAAAAGGTTTTTTTCTGACAACATCTTACTTGATTTGGTTCTCTCATGTTGACATTTGTTCTGTGTCTAGCTGTGGCAGTTTGTAAGCTATAGTTGAACATTTCCTTAAACGTGGGAGTTGGGATGTAGAACAAAAGTCTTTCTCCTGCATTTTCCAATGAAACATCTCATTTACTGGGGAGAGGGCATGATAAGATTATTTTAAAAGTTTGTCCCAGAATAGTGGACATAATTCTGCCCAAATAGACATTCTAGTGTTTTTTTGAAGTTCACATCTACATTTGCATATAATAGGTGATGTATTTCAACATATTAGTTAAGGCCAAGTGAAGCAATTGGAGAGACAAAAGATTTTGGATGTCATGAAAGGCCAGCAATTTGTTACTTATTTACTTTGCTGGTTTGGTATTTTTTTTAGCTCCAGGAATGGTAAGAGATGCTCATGGGGTTGTTTTCCCTGTTCTTGGGTTGTGATGGTAAGGAACCACCATTTGCTCTTCTGCCTCAGGCAGCAACATGAAATAAGCTGATATGCATCCTAACCATATCTCCTTGTTTTCTTCATCAGTGTTTTTGCCGTCCTCAGTCAGCAAGATGGTGTTGCTACAGAGCTACTGCGAGGCGAATGAGTCCCTGGCACAAGCATGGGCGCAGCAGGGCCTGGACCCTTGTTTCTACTTCACGTTGGTGCCTACCATGCTGCTCAGCGTCTGCCTCCTTTTGGGCGCCCTGCAGTATGCCTGCTATGCCCGCTTCAGCCGCACCATGGAACCAAAGTACATCCCACGCTCCCGCCTATACCATATCCAGGTCCTCCTGTCTCTGTTCCTGGCACTGCTCTGCTTTGTCACCTTTCTGTGGCAAGTGCTGGGCATGCATAAACTTTATGGGTACATGGTGCTGTACGCCTGCCTCTCTGCCCTGAGCTGGGTTGGCTCTCTTGGGTTGCTGCGCTTGGAACGGACCCGAGTGATGGTGCAGGATCGGACCAGAGGCCATGGGGTTATTCTGCTCCTCTACTGGGCCCTGGCCTTTGCTGCAGAGAACCTGGCCTTTGTCTCTTGGAACAGCCCTCTCTGGTGGTGGGGCTTAGAAGACACCAATCAAAAGGTAAGTTGAGGTGAGATAATGGGGGGCGTTGGAGAAAAGGGTATGTTTCTTCATAGGAGCGTTGCATAATTTCCCTTCAAAGGCAGGTACATTTTAGTTTTGAAATAGCACTCAAAGTAAGAAAGCTAGCCATGTAGAATGCAGTTTCTGCAATCTATGACAGTCATTGGATATAATGGCATTGTGAGATCACAGGTGTACGCACCTCCATGAAAGAAAAGCTTCCCTTCATTGTTTATGCAGAAATATGTTGTATTGAAAGAGTTTTATTATTTAACACAGTAGTTTTGCGTGATTCCTTAGAGATGAATACATTTAAGGCAGCATTTCCTTTCATGGGTTGTATTCCATTTTGTTAGACCCATGTTTGTTTGTTTATTTACTATATTTGTATACTGCTCTTCTCAGGTTCCTTACCTCAGATTACCAACTGTTCATGGACTTCAACTTCCAGACTCCCTAAACATCATGGTCTATGATTAAGGATTCTGGGAATTCAAGTCCAACAACCTCTGGTGGAGTAAGACCCCATCTACACTAACTATTTAATGCATTTTCAAACCAGTATTGAAGAAAGGGATTTGTCTATGCAGATGGTTACATGGAAAATCCTAGAACCAGTTGGAGGCTTGGATGAGGATTACACAAACCACAGAGCACAAACCACATTAACGGCTTTTTTCGCATGCTTTTGTGGGAGTTTGTTGTCTGAACACCTCAGTTCAAAGCTAGATTCTAACTGCATTAAATGGACAGGGTAGCCGGATCCAAAATAGATTATTATATATCCAGATGATACTTGGATTAGAAGTGAGGAAGTGATCGTACCTATCCACTTGAAAAATGAACTGAAGATTTTGTCATCAGTAGCAATCACAAGATTTATCAAGAAAAATTGTGAGTTACTCAGTGGGATCCTATTTGGTTGCTCTTTGGCTGTGTGTAGTGGATGACTGCTGCTTTTACTTTGGCAAGGCCTCTGTGGTCTTAAAATCTGAATGGAGAGGCAGAAAATCAAAAGTCAAAAGTGATTTTTTTTCCTGGCAAGGAGACATGAGGATGAACATCATGCCTGTTAAATTTTAAGTCCCTTATACAGGATTTAATTACACAGATACCAACTCTGACCTGGAGTGTGTTTCAATCTAGCTATATATCCTTGTTGCAGTAAGTCAAGAGAAGTAATTCACAGACCATTTATTCTCCTTTAAAGCAACAATACATATCCCATAACATAGATAAATGCATTTCAGTTCTGGTGAGTTAGGCAGGATATCAATCAATCACTCAATCAATCAATCAATCAATCAAATGTTATCCTTTTTTTCTGTATTTGAAAACTGCAAGAGAAAGAAAGAGGAAATATAATCTGGATTTCTGTAGTTGCCACTATTACTCAAATGATAATTGTTTTTGGCCTCTTCTCCCTCAGATAAAACACAGATACCAGCAAGGCCCCAACAAAATCCATAGGGAAAAATGTGGAGGTATATCTGTAAGTCCTCAGTAGATGGTCTTTATTTTTTTATTTTTGAAGAAACTCAACACATTTCAGCTTTTGTTTATATCAGTAACCTTTTTCAGGAGCAGAAAGGTCCAGTAAATGAAATGAGATGTTCAGCCCTAGAAATGTGTACTGTTAGATTGCATATTGACCCTGTTGAATTCATTGAAATATATACATAGCCTGAAATGGATTTTATTCAGAAATAAAAAATAAAAAATATTTAGTGAGAACATGGTGATGTAAATATGAGCACATAGAAATGTATCTATATAGTTCAGTGTCCTTCTACAGGAGCAATATGTAGCCTAACACTAGAAAATGGAATGAGATGTTCAGAAACTTCTATTGCTAGTGTGCATGTTGCCCCTAAGGAAAACATTGGGCTTTTTACAAAAATAAATAAAAAATAAAGCACATTTACGGAACCCTTGGAGATCTGTCTCTCTTATCCCCTCCCTCCCAGCTTATTCATCACTGCATATTTTTGCTGAGTCACTTTGTTGTTTATCTACCTCACGTAACCAAAGCGATAAGAAGAGGCTGCTTCCAGAGGACTTTGCCCAATGACTTTGCATAAATTGCAACTTGGCCCAAAGTTTCACTAAGGGTCAAGCTGAGATTTTCCATTTCCAGCACTTTCAGTGAATCTTCTCTCCCATCCCACACAGTTCCATGTTTTGAGCCCATAAATTAGGGCCTGATCACCATTCAATATCTCTTTCCTCTTCCCCTGCTTCTTACAATGCAATTCAAGCATCTGTTTCATCCACAGTTTCATGTATCCATGTCAGACAAAATATGTCCCCTCAAACATTTTTCTCTAGTGCAAGGCTTTTAAAACTTTTTCCACTCTGCCCAAGATTTATTTTTGGAACTCCTTTCCTCCTGTGAAATTTTTACATGACCCCTGGTATATACATATATAAATAGGTATAATGATGATGATGATAATAATAATGATGATGATGATGATGATAAAAACATTTACTGATAATAAATCTGCATTTTCAGGGCCTGCCAAACAGGCAGATTTTCCCTTTTGTGAAGTACAGTATACACTGTATATTGTTGATAACAGATTTGTTTGATTTCCTAGGAAATCCTTTACTGTTGCCAAATGTATTGTGACCCTAACATTGAGTTAAGGCGATCCTGTTTGGAGTTGGAACCCCCAGTTTAAGAAGCAGTGCTTTACTGCAATTTTATGACATTCTTGAGCCAGAAGTCCTTAAATTCAATAGGTTTTGATATCGAGATTGTGTATCCCTTATCTAAAATGCATGGGACTAGGCACATTTGGGATTTTTTTAAAATTTTGGAATACCTTTGTTTGCTTATACATACATAAGTAGTAATAGAATCCCAGAATTGGAAGATAACCCAAGGGCATCCAGTCCAGCTCCCATTCTGCCATGCAGGGACACACAATCACAGCACTCTTGACAGATGGCCACCCAGCCTCTGTTTAAATCCTCCAGAGAAGGAGACTCCACCACATTTCCAGGCAGTGTATTCCACTGTATATTCTACTGCATCATGGGATATCTTGGAGATGAGACCCACATCTAAATGTGAAATTAATTTATCTGTCAAACACAACTCTTCCATTAGCCTGAAGGTAATTACATGTACAATACAAGATTTTAAATAATTTTGTGCATGAAACAAAGTGTGTGTTTACAGAAATATCGGAAAGCAATGCTGTCACTATCTCTGGTGGACAGTTGGATTTTTGAGTATTTTGGGATTCTGTTCAAGGGATGCTCAACTTGGGTGGATCTACATTGTAGAATTAATGCAGTTTGACATGACTTAGGCCCCTTCTACACTGTCATATAAAATCCAGATTATCTGCTATGAACTGGATGACTATATATACTTGAGTATAAGCTGATCCGAATATAAGCCAAGGCACTTTATTTTACCACAAAAAACTGGGAAAACATATTGACTCAAGTATAAGCCGAGGGTGGGAAATGGTAAATTTCAAAATAAAACAGATACCAATAACATTGCATTCATTGAGGCATCAGTAGGTAAATGTTTTTGAGTATTTACTTAAAACTGTAATTTAAGATAAGACAGTCCAACTTTGATTAAACTGTGATTCCAACCTTTTTCAATGTAAATGTTCTTACGTATCTTTCCAATAATAATAGAGTAAAAGAATACATATAATAATAGAGTAAAAGAATAAATTAATAACAATAATGACGAATAGAGAAAAATAATAAATGTGATAATAGAGTAAAAGAATAAATATAATAATAATAATAGAGTAAAAGATCAAATGTAATATAATAATAATAACAGAGTAAAATAATGTAAATGTAATAATAATAATAATGTGGCCCAGTGATTGGCACACTGGGTGCAGTGCCTAAAGACCATGGCCTGCACTTAAACACAGTCGGCGCTGACAAAATTACCATCTGTCAGCTGCAAAAGGCCACCCTACTGGGATCTGCACGCATTATTTGCCGATACATCACACAGTCCTAGACACTTAGGAAGTGTCCGACGTGTGATCCAATACAACAGCCAGCATAGTGACCTTGTTTGCTGTGGACTCACCTTGTTGTGTTTCTAATAATAATAATAATAATAATAATAATAATAATAATAATAATAATAATAATAATAATAATAATAATAATAACAACAACAACAACAACAAATAGAGTAGAATAATAAATGTAATAATAATAAACCTTGACTTGAGTATAAGGCGAGGTGGCCTTTTTCAACCTTAAAAAAGGGCTGAGAAACTCAGCTTATACTTGAGTATATATGGTATATGTCAGTGTAGACTCCTATCATCCAGTACAAAGCAGATAACGTGGATTATCTGCTATGATAATCTGCATAATATGACAGTGTAGAAGGGGCCTTAGATTGCCATGGCTCAATGCTATGGAAGGATGGGATTTGTAGTTTGGGGAGGCACCAGAGAAGGCTCAAGGCCTTGTGAAACTACAACTCCCAGGATTCCATAGCATTGAGCCAGGGCAGTCACAGTGGTGTCAAACCACATTACTTCTACAGTGTAGACCAAGCATGGGCAAACTTAGGCCCTCCAGGGGTCTTGGACTTCAACTCCCACCATTCCTAACAGCCTCAGGCTCTTTCCTTTTCCCCCTCAGCCGCTTAAGCGGCTGAGGGGGAAAAGGAAGGGGCCTGAGGCTGTTAGGAATGGTGGGAGTTGAAGTCCAAAACCCCTGGAGGGCCCAAATTTGCCCTTGCCTGCTGTAGACTGTAGAGACACACCTCTGATTAGTGATGCTAGACACAAGGCTCTGACCACCTTGGTATGCACAACTCCCTTTTGCAGCAGTCCCAAAGTGTTTGACTCCGCCCCTCTATGTCACATGACCTGGGGCCACCTATTGCAGCAGCAGGCCCCTGAACAGGAAGAGGCTCCAAGAGTCAACAGGAAGCAAACTCTAGTCATCACAGAATGGTCAAGAAAAGGCTAATATCTAATCCTGTCTGAAAATAGAGGTGGGATTTGTAACCTAGGTTTAACCACCATGGCCCAGTGGTATGGAGTTATGGGAGTTGGAGTTTTACAGGGTCTTTAGTCTTCTCTTCCAAAGAGTGCTAGTGCCTCAGCAAACTGCATCTGCCATGACTCCATAGCATTGAGCCGGAGGGGCTGAAGTGGTGTCAAACTGCATTCATTCCACAATGTAGATCAGGGGTCCACAAACTTTATAAACAGAGGGCCAGGTTACAGTCCTTCAAACTGTTGGAGGGTCGGATTATAATTTGAAAAAACATGAATGAATTCCTATGCACGCTGCACATATCTTATTTGTAATGCAAAAACACTTGAAAACAATACAATAATTAAAATGAAGAACAATTTTAACAAATATAAAGTTACTAGTATTTCAATGGGAAGTGTGGGCCTGTTTTGGCTGATGAGATAGGGTTGTTGTTGTTGTTGTGTGCTTTCAAGTAATTTCAGACTTATGTTGACCCTGAGCGAGGGCCGTATTCAGCCCTCGGGCCTTAGTATGAGGACCCTGGGTGTAGATGCACCCAGAGATTGGAAGTGGGTGGGACAGAGTGAGGGAAAGCGAGGTGTGCTGCTGCTGCTGCTATAAAAATGCGACTAACCTGTGCTTCACTCCCTCAGGTCCAATTCAGTTTGTGGTTCCTTCGATACTTCAGCACCTTTGCCCTCTTTGCTTTGGGAATAAAGGCCCCTGGGTTGCCCCGGAAACCTTACATGCTGCTGATCAATGAGGATGAGCGTGATGTGGAAAACACTCAGGTGGGTTTGACGACATCTATATGAAATATCATATATTATCTATACCAGGCATGGGAAAACTTCGGGCCACCCGGTGTTTTGGATTTCAGCTCCCACAATTCCTAACACCCAATAGTTTGCCCTTGCATGATCTATATGAAGTTTCCCAGTATCTTAATATAATATCCCTGTTCTATTCTGACTTATTTCTATTGTCTGTCTTAGTTCTCAAATTTGCCTGATCTTTCAATTACCATGAACAAGCCCTATGAGGAGCAGCTTAAAGAGCTGGGCATGTTTAGCCTGAAGAAGAGAAGGCAAAGAGGAGACATGATAGCCATGTATAAATATATGAGAGGAAGTCATAGGGAGGAGGGAGCAAACTTGTTTTCTGCTGCCCTGGAGACTAGGACGCGGAACAATGGCTTCAAACTACAAGAAAGGAGATTCCATCTGAACATGAGGAAGAACTTCCTGACTGTGAGAGTCATTCAGCAGTGGAACTCTCTGCCCTGGAGTATTATTTATTTATTTTTTCTTCGTGTATTCCGTGAAATGCGCACCTATGGGTTTTCCCCTGCGCCTGCGCAGCAATCCGGACATTCTAAAGATTTAATGGATTTTTAAATGATTATTTTAAATGATTATTTACGGACGCGGAAGCCCCGCCCCTGTCCCCGCCCCTTCGGACGCCATCCGCCGCAGCGTGCGGCTCCTGGCTAGTTCCTTTTTCCGCGCCAAACAGGCAGCATCTCCTGGACTTCGCTCCTCGATATTAAGACCTTCCTGACTTTTGGACTGTTTTTTTCGACTACCTACCTTCTCCTCTCCTGAACTCGGACCGGCTCGACCACTCTCTCTCCTAAACAGGCTAGATGTCTTCCCTCTACTTTAAAAATTGTTCGGCCTGCGGAGTTAACCTCCCTGAGGCCGATAGGCATTCCAAATGCCTCCTCTGTCTGGGAGAAACCCACAACCCCCAGACATGTGAAATTTGTTTGAGCTTCACTACCAGGGCTCGCAAAGGCAGAGATGCCAGATTAAAAGCCTTGTTATATGAGCGGGCCCTAGCGCCCCAGACGCTCCCCGCTCCCTCCCAATCCTCCCCGATTCAAGAAGTTGCTCAGCCTCCCTCTCCACGCGTTGGGGATAGGCGTGATTCTACTCAGGCAAATGCTTCCCTTGAGGAGCAGCCGAGRAAAAAATCAAAGCTCTCTAAACAGGCCACGAAGCCTGCAAAAACGAAAGAGAAACCAAATAAACAGAAAAAGGGACGGCAACTCACTGGTGTTCAGCCCTTGAGTCCCCCTATACTTGAAACGATGCCTCATTTTTCCGGTTCCACCCTGCAGTTGCAGGAACCGCTCCCAAACATGCTGGAAATGGAGGATCCCTCCCACCTCCCTCCTCTCGAGCTCCTAGCTCCCCACCTGGAAYGGGAGCAGCCACCCGATCTCTCTCTCTCTCCTCCCCCTCTGCCCCCCTCTCAAGCCTCTCCTCCTCCCTCTCCAAGCTCCCCTCAATCGGTACCAGGGGAAACTCCTTCCCCCATACAGCCAAGCACCTCGGCGCAACCCCCTAGACGCCGCCAGCGCTCCCCATCCCCTCATGCAAACCAACCCTCAACCCCCTCCCACCCTCCCTCCAAGAAGGTGCGATCCCTTCCTCCAGAACAYTATCAACCCTATGGGTACCAAGAGTACCCCTACCACCTTTATCCCCCCCCCTCCACCTCCTTTCCCATACCCCTTCTACTATCCCCCCCCCCGACCATTTTAGGGGGCCCCATGCCTATCAATACCTTGACCCTAGATACCCACAACCTCCTCGTGTGCCTCCCACGGCTACACTCTCTCAGCCACCAGATCCTCGCCCCGAAGTGGATCCCCAGCCACTTCCTCATGACCCTCACATGCCCCCCCAACCGGAGACTGACACCATTGATTTGGAGTCCACTGAGGATACTCCTGTTATCCAAGACCTAGTAACAGACTCTGACCCATCACCTCAACACCTGGAGGATTTTAAAAAATTCTCAGCCCTTATGATCAGGTTGGCAAGGACCCTAAACCTTACCACCCCAGAGCCGTCCGATACAGTCACAGATCCATGTTTTACTTCTACTGAACAACAGGCACCTGCATCCACTGTGTTGCCCACGCTGCCTTATCTCTTGAAAATTCTTAAAAATACAGGGGTTGCCCCATCTCTGGTTCCAGCAACTCCTAAAAGGGCAGAAAATCTGTACCGTATTGACTTATCTTCAGCCTCATGGCTATCCAAAATGCCCAAGGCTAACTCTGTAGTGACTGATGCTCAACCAAAACCAACCCAAATTAACCAGTCATCTCCCTCCGATAAAGAAGGGAGAAAATTAGACTCTATGGCTAAAAAATTTTACTCCTCAGCATGTCTTTTTGCCCGCATGGCACATTATGGGGTCTATATGAGTGTCTATCAGACCCTACTTTGGAACAAAATATCTCCATATTTGGACTTATTACCACCAGCTGATCAACCGCTGGCGAAGGCCTTTGCTCAAGAAGCCCTGTTGTTGGCCAAACTACAAAAAGACTTAGCAAAAAATACAGCTGACACTTCAGGCAAACTGATCGCTGGCTCAGTTGCTCTCAGACGCCACGCCTGGCTAAGAGCTGCAATTCTTTCTCAGTCACAACGTGCCCTCATTGAGAACCTCCCTATGGATGAGGCGGGTCTCTTTAACCCTGAAACTGATTCACAACTTGAGCACTCCCACAAGATGAAACAAACTGTATACAAGTATGATCAGCAGCCCTACCCCTACCAACGCCAAAGGTGGGGCTCCTACTACTACCGGCCCCAGTTTTATAACAGGCCTTACAACACCTCTTTTTACAGGGGCAGACAAAGACCATACGCCCCAGCTACAGCTGCAAGACGTCCGTCACTCCCCTCCAGAGGTCAGTACCGTGGTACCAGACCTTCCAATACCAATAAACGCCGTTTTTGACACACCTTTACTTGTCACCTCATCCCCCACCCTTCCACTTACATTCTTAAACAGGCTTCACCAATTCCTTCCACAATGGCAATCCATCACCACAGACACCTGGGTTCTCGACATAGTAGACAGGGGTTATGCTATAGAATTTAATACCTACCCACGGGTTGGCACTATTCTTCTCACTCAACCCTCTCAAGCCATTTGGGAAGAAATAAACTCCCTCCTTCATAAAGGAGCCATCTCTGTCACCCCTTCTCATACAACCAACACCTGCTTCTACTCTCGATACTTCCTGGTAGATAAAAGAGACGGTGGCCTTCGGCCTATCCTAGATCTCCGTAGACTCAACACCTTCATTACACCACGCAAATTCCGCATGGTCACTCTACCTAACATTCTTCCTTTCATTTCTGAAAACTCGTGGTTAGCCACGATAGACCTACGAGACGCATACTTCCATATTTCAATCAGACCATCACACCGCAGGTTTCTGACCTTTGCGGTTCAGGACAAACACTTTTCCTTCAATGCCCTCCCATTCGGTTTATCCACCGCGCCCAGAGTATTTACAAAGTGCATGGCCGTCGTAGCCGCACRTCTCCGTCAACAAGGCGTTACGGTTTTTCCGTACCTTGATGACTGGTTATTTTACTCGTCTTCAAGACCTCAGTTGTGTAAAGATATTCATTACACCTTATCTCTTTTACAGGTCCTCGGACTGGTTATAAACCAGGACAAATCCCATCTTCAACCAACGCAACGCATCCAATTCATCGGAGCTATCTTAGACACCACACTCCAGAGGGCGTTCCTCCCGGAAGACCGGTTCCTCAACCTCAAACAGGCCATTTCTACCCTGCAACACTCCCAGCAGGCCTCCGCTTGGGCTATCCAGTCCCTCCTGGGACACATGTCCTCCACTACAAATGTGACCCCATTCGCACGCCTCCGAATGCGGCCCCTTCAGAACTGGTTCATCAGAACTTTCGATCCTCTCCGCGACCCCCAGTCTCGGGTTCTTTATCCACCCCACTCTGTCCTCCACTCCCTTACATGGTGGACAAAAGCACACAATGTTCTCTTGGGGATGCCATTCAACCAGCCCCGCCCCTCCGCGTCCCTCACAACGGACGCCTCCAACTCGGGTTGGGGAGCTCACCTCAAGGGGTTCCAGGTCAGCGGTCACTGGACCCAACAAGACCAGAAATTCCACATCAACGCCCTCGAAATGATGGCGGTGGAGAAAGCTCTTCGGGCCTTTGTCCGAATCGTATCCAACCGCATGGTCCAGATAGTGACAGACAACACCGCTGTCAAATACTACATAAACAAACAGGGGGGAACGAGGTCACAAACACTTCTCTCAATCGTCACACGCATCTGGGAATGGTGCATTCAACACAATGTCCTTCTCACAGCCATCCACCTCCCGGGACAGGACAACATTCTAGCGGATTCCCTGAGCAGAACAACAAAAAACAATCACGAGTGGCATCTTCACCCAACACAATTCAAACTCATTACACGCAAATGGGGCACCCCCAGAATAGACCTCTTCGCCTCCCCATCAAACACTCATTGCCCTCTCTACTGCGCAAGACTCCACCCTCGCGCATCCCCAGGTTGTCTCGGAGACGCCTTCCTGTTCCACTGGACACCAGGCCTCCTCTACATCTTCCCTCCACTCCCTCTCCTGTCTCCGGTCATAGCCAAAATAATCCAAGACAACTCGGACTGCATCCTAATCACCCCGTGGTGGCCACGCCAACATTGGTTTGCCCCACTCCTCCTACTCTCCAACAACCAGTTCCTCAAGTTCAACCACACCCCGGACCTCCTCACGGTGGAGAACGGGCTGGTATTTCATCCAGACCTTCAATCCCTCCACCTTACGGCGTGGAGGATCAAACCTCATTAAATGTGTCTGAGGCAGTATCCCGTATAATTCTTGCCGCCCACAAGCCAAACACTACCAAGTCATACAACTATAAATGGTCCCTCTTTACATCTTTCGCGAGATCAGCGGGACACGACC